ATGATTATGTTGAGGTTGCTGTTTTTAACCAGCGGAGGAGGTTTTAACACTTGACTTTTATTCAGCTTCAACTTGGGACATTTCCCACAGTATTCTATGAACTCTTGTAGGGGTAACCTCCATTTGTTCTGTTTCGGAGGGGGGGTTGCTGACCGTCCACCGAACAACTCTTTTGTGTATTTCACGCGCTCACTAGGACAAGTCTACACATTTATTGTGTCCATTTCCACCAAAACAACCTAGGGGGGCAAACTAGTTTTGCGACTTTCAAACTACAAGCAGTTTTGGCAACGGAAAATCGTTTGCGCTCTTGAAAGGACCGGGGCAGCGCATCTGGAAGGGAAACGCGAACACAGATGTTTCTGTGCGTTGTAATCTGGCGCTGATGCGAGCAGAGTAGTTGCCCCCCCATCTATAGGTGTTGAGCCCAAGATACACACAGCAAAGTAAGCATATTCTTGTTTCTCGTCAACAAAGAACTGTTTGATCGGCGTACTTTTCAGGCAAGTTTATTGTACTCTGCCGATCCCACTTGCGACTCAGCGGTATCACTATCGATATGCAGTCAATATTCCATGTAATATTTCATAACATCCTTCCATCATGTTGGTACATGTCATTTTGGCGAGATAGATAATCGCAGGATCTGCGATTGTGTACCATTATGTTTCGTAATTCCAAAGTTTGGAGCTCGGTAACTGTTCAGCTGCAACCGATGCGTAGAAAGTATGTCCCTCCTGACAATAGAGTTTCGTCACTCATGGCGCCAAAAGGCGAATAAAAACAATATTAATATGTTAACTGTTATGAATTTTGATATTATATGGATCCTGAAGGAGTGTTCCAATGATTTGCTCCATCGACAAGATACCCAAGTCTGTTTCCATAGATGAAGGGCAAGTGGTCCCGATGTGTTCGCCCGCGTTCTGCTCTTGTGCAGCTGCAGTCTGAGTATAGGATCATCCGTATGTGGGCACCGTCATAGTCACCTCTCATAGAGCCAAGCGCCCGCCACAAACCGGACTGGACAGGTTGGATTTTGCAATGATCCTGGGCATGTTGAAGGCACATCTGATTATTTATGAAGCATCTTTCCGCACCTATTTAGTACCAAATTCCGCGGGTTCTGCCCTGACTGGCATTGGGGTAAACGGATATGTGATGGGCCCTTGCGGGGAGCTGCATGTTCTGTGCTAGTTATTATCCTGTAAATTTAAAAGAGTTTGCCGGATTTCGGTACAGGATGAAATGGCTGGTTATCAAGTGGACAGTCCTCTGGCGCATTCAGGTAGTTCGACAGTCGGTATCGCTACCCAAACAAAGTCGACGGCCAACATGCGGGAAGGGAAATTAATATAAACTAAAGTGTGCATCGACCGGTACATCATGCTACGAACGACGATCGCTATGGTTTCCGCAGCTCAAGTTGCATATATGTAGTGTATGTCAGCTCACAAGGTGTGCGAGTTACTATTATGGTTGGAACTATGTTGCCGACATTCTATGTCTAATTCGCTGCACTACGAACGACGAGTTCACGTACCTCCGCCGTCTGAAGAAGAGCTAACGATCTGTGTTGCCATGCTTCGAGACCTTCGAATGCGGTTTGCAGGATCTGGTAAGATTAGAGCAGATAATGTAAGTATTGGAGGAAAACAGGCCACTTCCACCATCGACAGAGGAGACTGTTTCTGGCCAATACATAATACCTGCAATGTATCACCGTGCCCAACCAAGATCACAACTTCAGTTTCTCCATGCTCTTCCAGCTGTTTGATAACCGTCATTCCACGATCTCTAACATGTGCCGTATCCTCTACTCCAGGGCCGAGTTGCGCCTTGGGTCCTTTTGCATCCTCTTCCCAAACCACACGATAACAAGTATCCGCTTGCCCTTCGAATTCTCCAAACCGTCGTTCACGAAGCAAAGGCGTTGGGTGAATAGTTGCATCAGGGAATTTGGAAGCAATAACAGCTGCTGTTTGAAGGGTGCGAAGAAAATCTGATGTGTGGATTTGGACTTTGCTGGCAGATGGTAGGATTCTGCGGAGGTGATCTGCCGCTAGAACGGCTTGCTTCTGTCCCTCCTCCGTCAGCCCATACCGTATACACCCGACCTCAGGATCAGATACTATGATTTTCTCCACATTGGCTTCCGACTGGCCATGTCGAACAGCAAAATACCGTCGGCGGAGGGGTTTAAAATGGGTCATGGTCACTGCAGGGCGACAAACGACCTTTCGCGTTGGTGAGTTGACTACAACCCAACGCATCACGTGATCATATGCGTGAACTGGTCAATGTGTACGTTTTGTAGTTTTGGTTGACGATCTGCGGCAAACGACAGATGCCGGAAAGAGGACGCTCAAAACGTTGTTAACGACAAGGGGAATCTCATAGTTTTGCTCTCTAGGACTGTTCGTCAACATGCGAGCAGCGTGTGGGGTCTGGGTAGCATGGTTTTCGGTGTTATTGTTTGTATTGTTGGGGGACCATGCAAGTGTGAAAGGGATGACTGTGGAACGACGATTGGAACTAAGGTTGTTTTCGGAATTAGCTGCCATTGTTGCTGATTCAGTTATCTCAACGTGATATTCATTCATGTGCTTTGAATGCAGGAATAAAGTTAAAGAAATGTTTGACCATGGCTATCAGAATTACTTGAGGCATGCCTATCCGCTGGACGAACTGAACCCTCTGGCCTGTAATGGTCGTACCAAGGATGACAATCCAGGAAATTGGTATGTGAATGTAGATTATATCAGACTCTCCTTTGGCTATAGAGATATCTTACCGTGTATCTTTCATGCAGGAATGTGAACGATGTCTTGGGTAATTTTTCATTAACGCTCGTCGATTCCCTAGATGCCCATGCGGTAGGTTCGTGTTGAGAATGAGACATTTTTTTCTTTCGCTCATACATTGACCCTAGATAATGCGTGACCAACCCGAGTTTGAAAAGGCCGTGCGTCTTGTCATCGATCATGTGCACTTTGAACAGGATTCCCGCGTCCAGGTTTTCGAAGTGACCATTCGCGTTCTCGGAGCGTTGCTTTCTGCGCATATCTTGGCGACGGAAGAGAAGTGGGGATCGCGTATTGCATGGTACAATGGGGAACTGTTGTTATTGGCCCAGGAGCTCGCCGATAGGTTGATGCCCGCGTTCAACACTCCAACAGGGATGCCATGGCCGCGGGTAGATGCTTGCATTTATCGAGTCTGTTTATGAGAAAAGCGCTGACGGTGGATGCTGTTTTAGGTTAATTTGAAATACGGTGTTTTATCTCATGAGACGGAAGTTACCTGTTCGGCAGGTGCTGGGACGTTAATTTTGGAGTTTGGAGTGCTCACCCGTCTGACAGGAAATGCTACTTATGAGGTATGTCCAGTACACTCTGTGTAGTAGTGAAACATTACCAATATGAGAAATTGGTCTAATTGCTTTGTGTAGGATGCTGCCAAAAAAGTATGTCTGTAATCGCGCGTCCTCTCCCATGTGGAATTCTGTATTTTTACCATCTGGATAGGCACTACTACGTGTGTGGGCACAACGATCTCCACTTGACCTCGTTGGCAATAGTCTGAGCGTTAAAGATGCCAAGGTGGTAGAAGCGTGAGACATGCCATATCACAGCAAGTATTGACTACTTGGACTGTTTCAGTGGTACAACACAGTGGCGGGAATCGGTGCGGGCATCGATTCTTTCTATGAGGTTGATATATCTTGAAAAAACGACGCGTACATATTGAGCTAACACGCTGCATTTTACATAGTACCTCCTCAAAGCATACATTCTTTTTGGCGAATACGTCTATTTAGACATTTTCGATGCCGCTTACCGAGGCTTAATGAACGCTGTTAAAGACGAACGCGGATTAATTTATCGGAACGTGGACATGTTCAGCGGAGCTTTGGCTGCGACTTGGGTTGACTCCTTGGCAGCCTTTTTTCCCGGTTTGCAGGTGAGAATGTGTCGCGAGTCTGCAAATATTGAAGAGGCTAGTCAACGCGGTTTGTTCTAGGTGTTGGCAGGAGACATTGAGAACGCTATAAAGTTACATCAAGTTTACTACACAATTTGGAGACGGTACCGATCGCTACCGGAACGGTTTGATTTTCAAACCCGCGCTCCAGCGATCGCAATATATCCCTTGCGGCCTGAGTTGATTGAGTCAACTTACATGCTGTATCAGGTCAGTTATTGGATGGCTTCATAATGCTCTTGGCAGCAACTGATGCCACTTGCGCTGTTAGGCTACTAAGGATCCGTATTATTTGGAAGTTGGTGAACAGATAGTGATGGACTTGGAGGAATCAACCCGTGTCCAATGTGGATTTGCGGCTTTGGCCGATGTTGTGAAAGGGGAGCTTGATGATCGAATGGAGAGTTTCTTTTTGAGCGAGACATTGAAGTATCTTTATTTGTTGTTCGACGAAGGTGGGATCGGGCTTTGTGCGGGAAGTCTGCCAATGGACGAGGACTAACCATGCATGTGGATTTTCGTAGATAATTTCGTTCATGTGAACGATGGCAACCACGTCTTTACGACTGGTATGTACCTGTGGAAATATTGCATTGTGGTCCTTGTTGCGTGTCGCATTTGTAACTCCTGTTCCACAATCAGAGGGACATTTCTTGTCTCTTTCTTACGATCTGCTAAAGCACGAGTCAGATACGCGGAGACCAGACAACTCCACAAGACCCCCGAGACCATCTTCACAGCCCATGTGCGACCGCTATATGCCAATCCATAATTCAAATGCGACATCCTACTACCTCCCGGTGGAACATTCCCCGCCTCTTCCTCAGGACGAAATCATATTCATCAAGCACCTGATAGGAGGCACACAGGTCGGCGAAGACGGGCCAACGGATGCAGATGAATACATAAAGAAACTGGTCAACTCACCAGACAATCCGCCGCCTTTGCAGATGCGGCCTTTCGAATTCAAGTACGGTCTCCGAGCAGTTTTGGACGCTTTTCTTGGGGTGGTGCTTCTTGGCGCCGTGATGTACTCTGGTCATCGGTAACATCCCCTCGTTTCCTTCTCTTTTGTGGTGCTTGTTAATCCAGGGTCGAACCTCATGATGGATCGGTCTATCAAAGTGCGAGGATCGTAAAGGTACCAGTTTACAGGTCGCGTGGTGCGTAACGTAGGCTGACATTTTAATGGACAACCTTCAGTCTGCCGACGGTTTTATTGCCGATCATTTTGCGGGCGTACAATTTCAAGTCGAGCGAGACCCAACTGGGGCAGGTTACAGAGTAACGAAGATGAACGGAAAGGACGTTCAACCTACGGATATCATCAAAGTCCCTCAAAAGGGTATCTCCTTTCTTACCAGCCCCGCGAAGGGCGACCCACTGCAGCCATCTCGATCACCTGACAATGGTCTATCACATCAAGGTGCCCGACTCGAGGCGTATCTCCATGATGACAATGGGGAGATTCTGCAGCGTGATTTTATGTTGGCCATTGCGCAGTTTGGACCTCAAATGTTACCAAGCGAAGTTATAAATACTTCTCTTGTTGTTTTGGATGATGAGAGAGATGTCGAGTATGGGTGCCATCCATTTTCGCCTGAGGATCACCGTCTTATCCAAGGTCGACTACTGTTTGTTCGACGCGGGGGATGTCTCTTTGCGGAGAAGGCCATCTGGGCAGAACTAGCAGGAGCAATTGGCGTGGTGGTCATGAATCATGTAGAACCCTTCATATTCCCCATGGCAAGTGGTGCCGAGCAAGGTCTCGATGGACCTGGTCTATCGAATGGGGTGGACACTATTAGCATACCAGCATATATGGTGAGTGGGAGAGATGGGGCTTTGTTGGTTCGTGAAGCTTCGAAGCACGGGCCAGTCAAGGTCCAATTACGGGCGCTGGATGGGATAGAAGCTCTCGGCGCGGTAGATTTGCAGATACAGTTTGCTGGACGACCGGTTTTAAATGTCATGGTTGTCCAAGAGGTTAGAGAGGGACATACGAGCAGAGAGATGAAGGGCCCGCCATGGCGCAGGTGGGGGACTAGAGGAAGTGGGCTCTTGGATCCCGGAAGTGGATTTGGGTGTTTGATGGGATGTGGCATAGCTGCTACGCAAACTTGTTGCAGTGACGTGCGCTTGTAGGAGCGATAAAATCATAGATACACGATTCAAAGTCTGACAATTCTGATTCTATATATCTTGGCGTAGTTGGAAGTTCTATCTGATTGAGCAGACAAATAATTACACTACCTCTACTATACCATCGACTATCTAAACCATATATTAGTCTTCAAACTGAACCAACGAATACGTTGGAGCGTCTAGCTTTTCTGATCCCTTCAGAGCACTGAGTTCAACGAGGAAGATATACTTTACGGTCTTGCCCCCATGCTTGGCGATAAGCTCACCAGCTGCCTTGGCGCTTCCACCAGTGGCTATGACAGAGAAGACGAAACATTAGTAAGTTGAGCACGGGCGTATCGGGCAGGGTATCAATATTGGTTATTACCGATTAGATCATCGAGGACGATCACGTTTTGGCCGGTCTTGATGGCGTTGGCTTGCATTTCGAAGTAGTCCTATGTTGAGTTAAATTTCAGGCTTACTGGTTTCCTTTAGATATCACACTGAACAAGAACTAACCGTTCCGTATTCTTTTTCGTAAGCTACTTTAATGGTCTCGCCGGGAAGCTTACCAGCCTTTCTGACAGGAACGAAAGCGGCACCAAGGCGGTTGGCAATCCATGGACCTGGTGGCAGGGAATGAATGACCTCAGTCGGCTGCAGGCTATACGTGATCAAGTTTGCATAGATGCTTACCTAGTAGGAATCCGCGAGCGTCTAGACCTATGAAATGAAAGAGGCATCTGTGTAAGGAAACCTACACATTGACGAAATCTGTGGGATGTGTGTTGTGCGTACCAACAATTACGTCAATCTTTGGAAGACCAGTTGATAGAATGTGGTGGACAATATTGGTGACAATGGTCTTGAGTTGAAACATGGCATGAGTTGCATGTCCAGATATCTGCTATGTTTGTTTCAGAGCCGAGAATACAATACATACCTCGACAGCAAGTGGGTCTTGGAAAATAGGGAAGATATCTGTAGGTATAGAAAAGGATGACGGAGATAGCTTGGTCAGATCATAGTTCTTCACAGTCTGTAGATATCTGACAAGTGACTTTGGACCGAGACTTACCTTGGAAGAGGATGCCCTAAAAGTTACCAACAGGACGAGAATTCAGGCGTTAGTAGTGAGTTCTGGGCACAAACAGCAACAGAATTCGACCAACCTTTTTGGGAAAATCGGGAATGGCTCTCAACAGCGACTTTATCCTTGCAATATCTGACATGACTTTTATTGGATGAGAGTGGAAATGGCAAGGAAAAACACCGAGATCTCCTGCAGGAAAACACCCTGAGCGGAATCCATCCGATCGGCCAGATGCGCCACATTTAAATGTCCACGTGCACTCGCGCAACGGAAGATGAACTTCACAGCCGCTCCGCTGTGCTCTTTGAACGAAACCCCTGCGATTTCAACCTTCTTGTCGGCCTTGCTTGTCGCCAGCTACCCAGCCATGATACTACGAGCGGCATCTCGCCTTTTGCCTGTCCTTTTGATTCTACTGGGTCTGCTACAGGTTCGCTGGACACTGCGGTTTAGAGCGTTTGCAAGGTTATTGACGCGAACTCCTCACACAGCCGGTGCAATCAGCAAATACAACGCAGTTCTGCAAGTGCTCCTGTCCTCCCAACTCTACAATTCTTATCGTCTCCGCCTGTTCATACTGTACTAGAGACTTTTGTGTCGAGCAGAAAGCGTGCTACCGCCCGGTAAAAGAGACTCAGCCGTCCACTGCAACTCTTAGTGCTTCTGTTGTATTGGAGCCGACAGAGATCCCTTCAGTAAATGAAGAGGATTGGGGGGTGTTGTGTTATCGTGAGTAGCTTTGTACATGCTATAATTGGCGGTGGCGATGTTCAAGACAGTATTGAATTTCTCATGTTTCTGCTTAGAACTTGGAAGTTACAAGGACGAATTTATCATATACTCTTTCATCATTATTGTGTGCAGCCTGTTGGTTGCGTCTGGGACAAAGCTATGTATGGAGAGATTTGCCAAGGTATGTAGGCCTTCCTGGTTATGCGTTGCCATAACCGGTATTCATTGGCGCGTGTCGTTTGTAATTTACAACGACTCTTCTTTGACATAGGACCGATGGTCACCTCGAGCGTTATACAGTACTTTGGGGCGATAAATGGAGCCCAAAGGGGTAGGGTAGCTCTTGAGCAGAATGTGAATTTTGCTGGGATGTAATTACAATTTTGGAATTTACGATGATGGAAGAGAGCTTAGGAAGGAAAATTCAATTTGCACGTCCCCCTCCGGCCCGTATTTCCGTTCCTTTTTCAAGACTCCTTTCTCAACGGTTGCCAGCCATACTCTGCGGCACTATTCTCTGCGTGTACCGCATTACCTCAGGCGGAATATAAGTTTGTCTCGTCACAGTCGTAAGCGCCCGCGCTTCAGACCCGATACCCAACAGAGACACAGGAGTGTCAAGGTCTGGTTGCATATATGCTTTTGCTGTCGAGGCAGGGTGAACTATGGGCTGCGGTGGCTCTGGTGCGTACGGGAAAGCACCAATGGTAGAATGGGTGGTTGTTTCGTAGCTGGAATGAAGACTCGTTAAGCCAGTGCATTTGTCAGTCATCACCTACGCATCCTAAATAAAATCTTACTTACTCGGTCACAAGGCTCTCGCCTGTTTTGTCTCCTACATCGAGCGTTGCCAATGTGTCCGAGCCGACCTTCACCCCAGCGGCTCTGATATGTTTTGTGTCCCCAGCTGCCATGGGATTTTTGAAAGCCTCCCTCTGACAAGTGCCACCTGTTACCCCACCTTCTTTCTCCTCATCACCCAACAAGAAATGCTCCCGGCGAAGATAGCTCCTGCTGTCTGATGACTGCTTTTGGGAGGCCCTATAGGCGAGTGGATCCTGTACACCTTTGTAGCATGTCTGCGAGATTGATTGCGGTGTGGGTTCAGCTGGATCATGCTGCAGAAGGTTGTGGCCCGTTGCTGTAGGGACGGCATGCAACACGGGTCGGGTGACTGCAGTAGTGGGTGCACTATAGGATGTAGACGTGATCGTGCGGTACCGGCCGTCCGTATCAGCGCCAAAGCATATGCTACTGGTACCGTCGCTGCGCTGCATATCGGGAATGCCATTTGGTAAGCGTGCGAACTCTGCGGTGTCTCAATCCTACCACACTGCGTACCTTCCGATCTTGATGCTCCCTATCACTGTGTCTCTTGACAACCTCAAAGCTCTTAAACTCCTCTTGAGATGTAGTCCGTCCGGTCCGTCTATCGTCGTCGTATTCCTCTAGCACATGGCTAGGGACGAACTTGCCACGTGGAGTAATGGGAGTCACATCCTGAGAGGAGCGATTCTGAGGTGGAAAAGATGCCGTATATTGAGATTGTCGCGGGAGAGTTGGGTCATTTCCCAGCTGTCGAATGCCAAAGCATCAGCAAAGAAGGCGGTACTTTGCCATTGAAAGGGCAGCTAGTTACTCACGGTGAAATGAGTGGAACGCAGATCTTTGATCGTAGCCTTCATATCGGGCCGAAGGGAGTCGAAATCTAAATTAGCGGGAATATTGTCGTGCGCTGAGAAACAAATAGGATCCATTATGATGGAGATTAGGACCGGAAACACGTCTATCTTTTCGTCCAATAGATTGTTTACCTTCCCGCGCTGAACTCTTCCAGATGGGAGCTTCTCCATCCGGACAATCCAATACGTTCGACTTATAACCAAGCCTCTCATAATCCGCAGGAGGAATTGGTGGTAAGGCACGCAATGCGTTGCCAGAGGTGGTTTCGTAACTAACTCTGTCGGTGCCGAGGGAGATGTGCGTGATGCCTTTGTTTTGACGTGCCGAACGGAAACGTGTGCGTAATTGCGGCTTTTGCAGAGTGATTCAGTCGGCAGTCGCAACGAATATCTGGTATTCTATCATACAGATAGATACCTTATGATATGTGTCTTTGTAGGTACTCTGATGTTTTTCAACGTCAGCTTCCTCGTCACGATATATTATTGGATAACGCTGCAAGGTGTCGCAGAGATCAGAACTTCATAGTATTGAATACGTGAAAGAATATAGATGAACCGCACCTGGTACTTCTTTTGTGTCTCTTTATAACTCTCTGTGGAGACGGCCTTCAAAAAGCAGGGTTTACAGAATTACCGTGAGCAGAGCAGATGTACATTGGCATCCGTCCGATTCATGCTTTACCGTGGGATCTTGGGCCGGAAAATCCTCTTTGGTTCTGGATTTGAGTATCAATTCACCACCATCTGGTCCTTCCAGAGTGAAGTGGGAACGTTTGATGTCCTCAGCAACTATTAGGACATCAGATGCAAATTTCAGCTTTAACGAGCTGCCAAGTGTGCAGACACAACCACAACGTTCCGCATACCAGAGGTCGTCTCTTTGGTCATTATCCCCCTGTCCACTCTCTTGGGCGCAAAGTCCCTCTTCATAGTACTCATCCATTGCGGTGGTTGTTCATCCGCATAGTTTGCTGTGTGGGTTTTCGCCTCATTGTTGCTCCTCGCTTTCAGCGTTCAAAAGGATGACAGTCAGTAAGATCGCAACCCGCTCCTTTCGACTTGGGATCCGGTAAAAAAAGGTACTTTTGGCTTACGCAAAAATCGATTCTCTCGCTTGCTTCCATAGAGTCTTGCATGCATGTATTCTCTGTGTGCCGGTGACAAGTCCACGTATCGCGGATCGTACTCGGGACGATGCACCACAGTCGGTGGACTTAGAAGGAGGCTCTTCATGGATTGCGCACTCCGGCTATGTAGCGAAGATGCAGCTGTGGCCATGCTCGTCAAAGCGTTCAGTAAACAAAAATGGAATAATCAGTGCCAAAGATGCGTTGGCTTGATTCTTTGGTATGTGTCCCCTTTCTGCTTGTTTGGCCTGAAAACAGCTTGTTTTTGCTGCTTCATATGTGGGACGTGCGGGGTTTTGGGATAAGGATTTTGATATCGGAGAATTAATGGTTGCATCTTATGTGAGGATACAAATAAAGACTACGCTTGGCACATCTGTTTCGTTCGGGACAACCGTGGGTATCGTTGTGACTTACGACGCTTGCAATGGCCATGGAGACGGAATAAGATAGTAGGGCTAGTATACCCCAGGACCGAGCGAGACAGAGCACATCTTCTAAATAACTTCCACAACGAGATTCATAGCTTTTGACTATTTATCTATAGGCCAAATTCATAAATATTTACAAAAATAAAACATAATTCTCCAAGGTCAGAGCAATTGACGTCAAGTACATTAAAAGAAATATTTGCCAAGAGAGGAAGATGAGTATGTACGGTTGGGAAGAATATTGGACTTACTTCCTCCCGCGTCAGTCTGATGAACAAATACTTCCTCTTCTCGAATATCATCAAATTTGGACATTACAAGATATCGTAGGTTCGTCTCCCTCGTCCACCTGGACGGGGTGGCATTGTCAAGCCATATTTACATAATACTCGACTCCGCTGGCTCCGGTGATCGGTGAGGGTCAAAGGAGCGCTTTGGCAGTGAATGCGCAAAATAAACTTTTAAATTGTCGAAAATAGAAACTTCGCAAGCACTTATTGTTTGCCGAGACTAACATGGAACCATCACAAAGATAGCCATTGACTGACAAGAATGCTTGCCAAGCCTCTAAACTGCAAGGTAAACCCCAATATGACACGGCCAAGAGGAATCTGTTTCTGTATGCCTACCTTACACAGATAAAAAGCGGGAAAAAAATAAGTTCAAGCTTGTTTGGTTGCTGTTCTGCAGATTTAGGCGCTGTCACCTGCAATTACGCAGAACATTAATGGCTTTACAGCTGTTTCCTACAACCGTGAATTGGAATCCACTTCAATCAAGAACACCAGATTTCTCAGCTCAGGACGCCAATGGGAATGAGGAAGACAAAAAAGGCCCAGCCAGCAGACTCGGCATCAAAAGTCGACAAAGAACGTCACTTGTTCCCCGCGCATTGGATGTAGCTGCTGGACAGTTACCCCCTCAGAAATTGGACCTTGCTTTACCAAGAGTGGGTTTACCGTCTCCTGGCGAGTCAGGAACTTATGAATATGAAGAAGTTCCGTCTTTCTCCTTTGATGCGCCATTTGCTAGGCGAACCGCTGATAAGGATCGTACCTCACGCCGGCGTAGAGGCAGCGATGGTGGTATCGGAATTCGCCCTTCCACATCGAGCCTCCAGACAGAAGTGACCAGTGAAGATGTAGCCGAATTACCAGCAATGCCCAGTCGATCATCTCGACGTCGTGGTCACAGCATATCTGCATATACCGCTTCATATGATAAACCAGATTGTGGACCTGTCTGCACCACCGTCACATTTCAACGTCGGCGCATGGCTTCCGAGCCACCGCCCAAGACCCAATCTAAGCAGTTAACTCTTCCAGCAATTGACCCGAACAGAGTACAGCCCGTCAATCGGAAGGACGAAATCAACCCATTCTTGAGTGATAAGACATTGACCGCAAGGAGCAGAAGGGAATCAATTGTCAATAGAGATTACAGCAAGAATGTGTGGAAGCCGGCTGGCTCTACAACGCGATATACACTCGATTTTGTGCAGAATCGTGCCAAAGCACGGTCTTTTGCATTGCGTGCACGGCGAGCACTAACTCGACGATTTGTCCGCTCAAAGGTTTCATCAATTGCTGAAGATGAATCTAATCCAGTTACCACCGAATTAGAGGAGCTTGGTATTTTCTTGATCGAGGAAGAGGATGATTCTACCAGCACACCTGCATCCCGTCGGCACTCCGCGCGTAGGGCGTTACAGCAGTTTCTCAATGAAGAAGAGGGCGACATTGACGCTGATCTGGAAGCGATAAATCATAAAAAGGCACGCGTCTCACATGTAGAAGAGGAGCCACGACCGGAAAGTGCTCAGCAGGCAACTCAAAAGGAGGATCATCTAGGGCTAGCGGGAGAAGAAGCGGTGCCAATTACACAACAGCATACTGAGGAGAAGGAAACCCGCAGTGCCGCGTTGTCCAGAGTATCGTCGGCACCTTCTTTGCCGATAATTCCAAGCACTCCCAGTGAATCCTTCCCGCCAACCAGCCCTCTGCTTCCGGATACATCGGATCATATATTCCCGGTCCGACCTTCCCGTCGTGATCGGGAGTCTTCTCGGTTCCGAGGGGTGGAAGTTACGCCTTTGTTGATGTACGACCCGATAATGCGGTTCGTTAGTCCTCATGCAGTGGAAATGAAGGCAGGGTTTCGACCATCTGATGACACAGACGAAGGTATTCTGATATCTGAACAAGAGAAGGCATGTGTGCAGATACCGCCGACGCGTGATCGAGACTTGGAGTTTCCAATGAGCACTGAGGATGACCGCATGAATGCGAATCGTCAGACCCACGTTATGAAAACTATCTTTCTCAATGACTTCCTTGTACTGTATGCGAGTTCAACCCTGGCTCAAGATGCCGATCTGTCACACCTCGTCCGTGATGTTGATGTCCTTCCGACAGCCCGCCCGACCTCTCCTACCGCGGCGGTAGATGAAGCTGATATACCAATAATGTGCTGGAACTTTTATTCGTATCTTCGAGGTCCTGTGACTGCAGGGGAATATCAACTGAAATCAGGAGTCTTGCTGCCTGATGACGTGTTGGAGAATATCCTTGGGGTTATGAGTGAGTATGCAAGATACTTTTTGCCTGGTTTTATTTATTTCTAACCTCTTCGCCTGAAAGGAAATGCGAGGTTGTCGGAAGAGAATCGTGTGGCCGAATTCCGCTCCTCTTTCAAAGAATTGTCGCGTAAACAATATCTTTTCGTGAAGGCTGTCGTTGGACATTTGAATCGGTAAAGACATACCTTGATCAGCACCAGTGGATATTCTGAGACTGACTTTCCCTTCTGCTCCAATCTCAGCATAAGCGGAATTAGCCCCTCATACAATATCATCCATGGCCTGGCGTCAGCATTTGGTCCCGTTCTTCTGCCTGTCCCTCTCGTAGAGTCTCGACCATGTACCCCAGGCCCAGGCACGCATCTAACGGATTCCCGTCCCATACCTGGCTTCCGCAGGAATGATGATGGCACCCCTTTCATATATCCCGCTCTATTGCCTCCCCCTAAGCTGATCCGGCTGGAGGTGGATGTTATCTCAAGCGCAACGCCCAACAGTATTGCAAGGACTGTGTTCATGGAAAACTGTGCACCATTAACGGAGCGTTGCGGGGTATTAGCGCTGATGCTGGAGCACTACGATGCTTTATTTAGTGCTTCATTGGCTTGAAAATTGGGAAGGTAGCAAGGACATTTAACCCCATTGGGGTACTTCTGCAACCGAAAAACACCTACTGCACGTTTGTCTTTGTACAGATAGATAGCTAATAGAAGTCACGAACAGCGAATTCAAAGCAAGGTACTCGCACTTATTGGTCATAGAATCTAAATAGATAGTATCTGAGACCAGAATTGCGCGCTGCGAGCATGTGCAGTAACTCCTCCATAATCGCGTATGAAGTACCGACAACTATAGTGTTACTGAACACTGCCCTTAAGCTTCTCTAAACGTTCCCGTTCCCTGTTACGGATGTATTGCTCCTCGGCAGCGGCCTGTTTCTTCCTTAATTCAATCAAAGTTCCTTTATTAATGAATCGCAGTGTCTGCAGGTTTACCACCACAGTTAGCAACTCACTTGAAAGCATCGGCGCCATGCACCCCAGATACGCTTCGCCCATCCTTCAAAATTTCCTCTCGAAACTCAGGATCCATTTTTGGATCTGCATCCAATCTTTTCAATACTTCGGTTTCTTTCCTTTGTAACTTGGCCTGGAGCTCTCGAATGATCTCCTTTTCGTGATCCCAGAAGTACTTTTCCTCTAAGGCAAACTCGCGCAGGGCAAATCCTCCGCGAGCCTCTCGAATATGGCTTGCACCCAAGTCATGTTTGCCACCTGGATGGCAAATATCGGCAATTGATCGGGTAGTGCTGTGCATGGGCATGGGCAAGGAGCAACAACAGATCGGACGCAACGCAACGGAGGGTGACAGAAGCCGAAAAGAAGCCATGTTTTTCAGAAACTATTATTGGAAAGCGCCCAAAACCATTGTCGGCAAAAGTGGATAACATTTACGTCAGAAGAACGGGCGGATTGGCAGCTACGAGGCTGGCAGTTGCCATCTCAGTTCGACTCACGAAGCTAAGGTCTGCTTACGCAAGTCTCCTCATTACGCTCGATATAGTCATATAAATCCGGATTAATGCATTTCGCGACAAAGCTGAGATTTCTTGCCAGCAAGCGTCTTTTCGAGGCATTTCATTCGACTCGAAATGCCCGCAACTCAAGAAAACGAGGCCGCAAAGACGCTGGCTATTCTCGAAGAATGGTTCAAGAGCCATCGCGTTGTATACGATGAGCATGCAATTCAATTGAAGCCCAATGTGAGGGGTGCTGTAGCGGACGGACCTGCCTTTGGTGTCATTGCAAAAATGAACCTTTTGGAAGGGGACACAGGTCTGCACTACTTAATCGGGCAGTTAAAGCAAGGGGGGACATTTAGAGGAGTGGAGTCTGACAACCTCTCCGTTTGTTAGTTTGTACGATCTCAAAAGACGCAGTTGTCTCCGTGAAGAACTGTGGGATAGCTGATATCATCGAAGAAGCAGAGATAGGAGGAGTATTCGGGCTTGCTTTTGCGTTGATGTACGAGCTCTCTCTCGGCGCTCGCTCCCCATGGAGCGGCTACCTTCAATCTCTGCCCCAGCGCGAAAACCTCCCAATGTTTTGGAGCGATCAAGACTTGGAGGAGCTAAATGGGACGGATCTTGGCGATGATATTGTTGCGGATAAAGCGCTACTCCTTGACGACTATGAGACCATGATACTCCCCATTATCAACGACCATCCAGAAGCGTTTCCAGACAAATCTTTGCTCACCTTTGAGCATTTCCTCAATGCGACATCCCTTGTAACATCCCGTGCTTTTCAGGTGGATGAATATCATGGCGACTCAATGGCAAGTGATTGATGGGTGCGTAAAAAGCTATAGTATCTGAATGGTGCGTAATTTTGCAACAGGTACCTTTAGCCGATATATTCAACCACAAAACAGGTGCAGAGCATGTCCATTTTGAAACCGATACAGATGTGTGCCCATACTGTGGGGCAAATGGGCCTTGTTGGTGTACTGGTTTGGATGACGACGAGGACGAGGATGGGAATTGGGAAGACGTCTCAGATGCTGACGAAGGAGAGAGTGACACGAATACGATCAAGAAAAATATCGGAATTGAAAATGGAGCGCAAGTTAACGGCGCTACGGAAAGCGAGGATGCAGACGACGAAGTAGAGGAGCGAACACCTTCCCTTTATGACCCCGATGAGTGGGTTCGGGATGACGAGGAGGTGGATCTGGAATCATTCGAAGAAAACCCTCTCGCAGACACTAATGATGTACTGGAAATGACCGTTGTACGGCCTTGCAAAACTGGCGAGGAGGTTTTTAATACCTACGGGAATCATAGCAACGCTGCTCTTTTAAACAGATACGGTTTTGCAGAAGAGGAGAACCCGTTTGATGAGGTCAAAGTGTCCATGGACGATATCGTGATGAGTTTGGAAGGGAAGATGCCATTGAAAAGAATACAAGAACGACAAGACTTTTGGAACTTGGTAGCACGGCGTGTGGTTGAAGACTTCCTTAGCGATAATGGTGCAGGCAGCGAGAGTGAGGATGAACCTGAATCTGAAAATGATGAGGATAAGGTAGATGACGATGAAACATCAGAAGGGTCTTCAGTTGCAGGGTCCGAAGACGAGGAGGACTCGTCGCATGACAATTTCCATTTCACATCCACGGGCCAAGCGTCACCGACCCTCTTCACATTTCTACATATTCTCTACGCAGACCCGAATCTTTTCTCTTCATTGGTTGAGGATGTAGAGAAGCTGCAACGCTATGTTGCACAACTTGCATCTGGTGGGTGGACCGTGAAATCTGTGACACCTGCCAGTAAAGCGAACCGAAGAGTGGGGGGGAAAGTACCCGTTAAGGCGGCGGGTCCGTCGCCTCTCGGACGGGCTGTCTCATCAACCCTTCTGTGGCTAGCGGAGAAAAGAAGTGCACGCTACACGACTGGTATTCAAGAGGATAAGAAACGATTGCGTACACTGGTAGGTGCTCGCCTGCTCACCTTGCAAGGTTATTTCGCAACAGAAGCTGGTATTTGACATGTTTCATTAACTTTCATCAGCCGGAGGGACCATCCAATCTCCGTTGGGCATTGATATTACGAATTGGAGAAAAGGCGGCTTTGGCACAAGCTGTGAAACGGTATTCAAGTTTTGCGACTCCGCTAGGAAGCAAACGCAGATAAACCGTTCTGAGTGTACCCCATTCAAAATCATTTTATTTATACATTAAGCTCCAGAATATCTAGAGAATGTGATTCACAGGCTTAGATTTGGTTAAATACGTTATCTGCTACACGATATCTGGTCTGATCTAATATATACAAAAGCGAACCCGTGGTGCAGATTCTTTGATGGAATGCAGTAATTGAAAAAAATCGGTTCTAACCTCTGGAACGTCAAATAATGTACGCTCCTTCTGATCTTTATGTGTTCCGTCCGCAATGACGAAATCAAGCTCATCTAGCCGCAGTGCACCTACATATCGCGTAAGGTTGGGACAAGGAGAGATGACAAGCAGCCGTGGGATACGTACCTCCACCATCGGAAATCAGTTTCTGTATCCGGTTGGGTGTCCCTACCGCAATAGGAAACGTGTCCTTCTTCAAAACTTCAACCTGATCCTTCAATTTCATATGCTTTGCAAAGAGTTTTGCAACTTTGCAATCGCCTGTCTTCCGAACAAGCCTGCAGACCTCTACCGCCCTTATCGCTGAACTCGCCAGGACTAGCACTTTGGGAGCTCCTGGGGGAAGGTTTGAACTCTTAGAGAAAAACTTGGCGGCATCAGATGGGAAGACTATAGGAGTCAGTTAGCACTCTCAAGAAAGTGAAAAGAGTAGTATTACAATATACGTACGAAAGTCGCGAATAAATAAAGAAATGTTATCGTCGCCCTTTAGTTGCCAGCCCGAACAGTCATGTAATGGCAAACCTAAAGTCTCCCTGTATTAGAAAAAGTGAAGGTCGCTAGGTACCGTACGACACGAATACCTTCTTTGGCAAAAAGTGCCGATGCATCCACTCCATGTCCTTGTTTCTTTGTCTTCACCTTCTTTTTGGGCTTTTCAGCGATATCTGCGGCTTCAACTGCCTTTCTCTTTGTGCTCGGTTTTATAGACTCTTCGGCATCGCTTCCCACATCGGAGATCACAAAGTCTGCAGCTTCTTCTACGCCATCCACAAAGTCGTCCAGAAGCTCATCGCCCTCTAGGGTGTCTGCTGATTCCAGCTTGCTCATGGTTGAAGGTGATCTCTACGAGGAGGACACCAAAGCCCAGGTTTTCTGAGTTGCTTGGGTAATTGTGAGGCATGGTAACTGCGCCTGCGACTGGTTAGCTTACATAATGTCCTGAAGGCGCGTCTGCACGAGCGGAGTTCCCTCATTTCTGTTCATCTCGCTCCTTGCATCTGGCGGGCAGGGCGATGACTGAACTAGCTGGCACTCGTGGCAGTCTTGCCAACTTGTACCGCTCCAATCCCACCCTATTTCACGATCCAGGACTTGATCCAAAGAAGCGGGCCGCGGCTGCGAACGCTATTGAGAAGAAGCGGGCGGGTTTAGATGCTCGACACCGCTATCTGTTGGAGAAGTTCGCGACTTTCATAGATGAAAAGCCTGCAACGCTAGAGAACTCTTTGCTGCAAGGCAGCAAACTTGACTATGTAAATGACTTCTTTGCAGAAGGAGGTTCCAGAAGAGTTTTGTTCTTCTGGCAGCCAGCTGGAAAGGTACGATGATGGCATAGAATCGCTAAGATTATGCAAATTTTGATGGTCAAATGCTACTTTTGGATTTTAGGATGAAGCTCCTAAACATATGGCCGGGTTTAGCAACACTCGTACCAATACACTCATCGTTACCAATGGCAATCGCGAAGTACTCACCGGCACCGGGTGCTTCTTCATTCGTTCCACCTCAAAGGCCATTACACCAGCCAACCTCTACCAAGAAGTTTCCTTTGGGTTGATAACACCCAATCTTCTCCCTTCACTTACGACGACTGTCAAACATGTTGTTCTTCCCGCCCTCAAAGCGCAAGAAAATTGGGGTGTCTTGACCCGACAGAAAGATGAGAGCGTTAAAGGTTTTATGGAGGTGTTGGAGAAGTTTGTGACTGATTTAGATGTCGCAATGGTGAATTTATGCGACAGTGTGCAGTTGCATGAATGCACAGTTGATCTGGAGGCATTCAAGAAGCCCAGCGAGTATGCAAATGCGGCACATACTCCTGAGGTTGTTAACGCGCTTGAAGGTGTGTCACAGAATTTTTCAAGCCCGATGACTGTTTATTGAGCGCTCATTGACTATCCTTTTTAGCTCTCGTGGCGGAATGGTGTAAACAAATTGAACAGGTGCTCGCCGAAAGCGAGCAAATGCGCAAAGAAGCGGATGACATCGGTCCCAACGCTGAACTTGCACACTGGAAAGCTCGCATGGTGAAGTTCAACTCGATCACTGACCAACTCAAGTCGACGACATGCAAGAAGGTGATTGGAATTCTACATGCTGTCAAAAGCCGAGCGCTCCTGAAAACTTGGAAGGATTTGGATAACCGAGTTACGGACGCTGCCAATGAGTCCAAGGTACCTTTTTCAAACAGCGTTAATTCCTTCCAAACAATATTTACATGTTTGAACTATTAGGACAACGTCAAGTACCTGTACACCCTCGAACGGTTCTGTGAACCGCTCTACCGCAGCGATCCTGTCGGCATGGTCCCCGCCATCCCTGGCCTCATTAACGCAATTAAGATGATCTATAGCATTTCGCGCTACTACAATACTTCTGAGAGGATGACGTCCCTTTTTGTCAAGATAACGAATCAGATGATTACCAGTTGCAAGGAATATATATACAAGGACGGAGGAAGCAAGCTTTGGGATCAGGATAGGGTTGCGTTGGTGGAAAAGTTGACGGATTGCGTGAGACTCAATGAGGCGTATCAGAGAGTTTTCCATGAAGTTAAGCGAAAGCTAGCCGAACTGCCTCAAGAAAAGCAGTTCGACTTCTCCGAAATGTACATTTTCGGCAAGTTCGACGCCTTCTGCAAGAGGATTCAAAAAGTAGTTGACATGTTCTCCATTATTGAGAAATTTTCGCTTCTCGAGCGCCTCGGTATTGAGGGTATGGATGGGCTCATCAAGAGGTTTTCGAACATCATGATGCAGATGCAAAGGAAGCCGTATGATATTCTGGATCATAGGAAGATGGTGAATATTAAGTCTCTTAACAGTCTCAGACCAAGGTCTCATATTTTCTTCCATCACGTAGGAATATGATTCAGACTACAATACATTCAAAAAGCAGATTTCCGATCTCGAAGCCAACTTGCAGCAATTCATTGACGCAAGCTTCGAGCACATCACCAACACTGAACAAGCTCTCAACCTGCTCTCCAAGTTCAGTCAGATCAAAGACATGCAGCTGGATCTCGAATCGAAATACCATCAAGTATTTGTTCACTATACACGTCGGGATCTTGAAGGTGTCCGCAAACTTTACACCCGATACAAGGAAGCACCGCCCATCCCCCGCAACACGCCTCCTGTATCTGGTGCAATCGAATGGGCGAGACAACTGTATCGACGTATCGAAAATCCGATGAAACATTTCAAGAGTAACACGTCCGTTCTTGACTCTATGGAAGCCAAAAAGCACATCAGAAACTACAACAAGCTCGCGAGGGCATTGATTGAATTCGAGTTGTTGTGGTACAGGTCTTGGTATGGCGTGGTGGATGAGGCCAAAACGGGTTTACAGGCCACTTTGCTAGTAGCCGACCCTGAGGGAAACCTTTATGTCAACTTCGATCCTCAAATCCTTCAATTGATTAAGGAGACCAAGCACATGCAGAGGTTGGGCTTGGAACTGCCCGAGAGTGTCAGGAACGTTTGCTTGAAGGAGATGTACTACAAAAATCTACAGAGTGGATTGTCATCTATTCTCCAGACAAAGCAGCGCGTGCTGCTCAAGGTGACAAACGTACTCCGCCGAGCGATGGTGCCCCATATCGAAGAGTTGGATCGAACACTTCAGCCGGGATTGACTGCTTACACATGGACCTCTCTTAACCTCGATGAATACCTACAGCGTAACAACACGCAACTTGCAAAGCTTGAGGAACTCGTGGACAAGCTGCTCGACATCATTGAGGTCCGCATTGATCACGGCGTTCGTAGAATCGCCGAGTTATCTCTCTGTGAAGTACCCTCCGAGACGGAGCAATGGACAGTAGATACGTTCTTGGAGCGAATGGACGACAGATGCACCACTGTTGTGAGTGCTATCAACAATCGCTCCAACCTGATTGAAAGTGCAACACGGGACATCATTGCAGAGTTGTCCAAAGGTGTAACGACGCCCATGAGCCCGGACTTGAAACTGGCACACGAAGCAGTCTACTACCACTTCAACTACCAGAACTTTGAGGCGTTGGTTCAGTGTACTAAGGGGTCTCTGGATCTACTTCGTGCTCGCCTAGGAAATTACACTGGGAACCAGTACAATCGGGCGCCGAGCCAGAAACCCTTTTTCCGTGCAGAGCTCGTGTTGAACATCCCGAACGTTGTCTTGCAGCCCAAATTGGAGGATATTCAAGCTGCTATTAATCGCGCCGCAGGCATGATCGTTGAAGTATCCAAGAAACTCAATCTCAATTGGAAGACTTTCCTCTCTTCATCGGATGCCGAGCACACGACACCACGGTCACCCGAAGACACGGCCCAGGTCGCAAACAACAAAGACGTTTTCAAAGCAATGGCCACTCTGAGTTCCACCGTAAACTCTATGCGTAAGGAAGTTGAGAATCACCGTGAGCAGTCCAGCAAATACGACTTCCTGTGGAAGGACGACAAGACGGAAACAATCCAAGCTTTCTTAAACTCCAACCCAACGATCGCCGATTTCGAATGTGAGATCAACAGATATGAAGCAATCGAAAGGGAGATCAATGACATTCCGACCACAACTCAGATTGGGTTACTGCTTGTCTCCTCTGAGCCCCTCAAACTAGCGCTATTAGCTGAAACCAAGGAGTGGAAGCAACAGTACGGTCTGAATCTCAACGGAAAGGTCAAGACGGATATGGAGCAGCTTATGGAATATATGGAAAACAAAACCGTAAAGCTGAGTCGCAAAATCTCCGATATTGACGACCTGCGCATGGCCGTCCAGACGCTTTCCGAGATCCGTGAAGCCGAAGTTGATATTGACATGCGCGTTGCTCCCATTGAAGAAGCGTATCTCCTTTTGACAAAGCACTCTGTGGCCGTAAGCAAAGAGGAAACGGAGATGGTCGACTCGCTTCGTTACAGTTGGAAAAAGCTAAAGCAGCTTGTAATTGACGTGCAAACGCATCTGTCAAAGATCCAACCTGTGTTCAAGGCGGATCTCATCAGTTCCGTGCAAAAGTTTTCCCAGGACGTTAAGGACTTCACTGTAGAGTACACCGAAAACGGACCTATGGTTGGCAGCATTCCACCAAAGACCGCGACCGAGAGATTAAATGTATTCCAACGTTCGTTTGACGAGTTGAACAGAAAATGGGAGACCTACTCAGCCGGTGAAGAGCTATTCTCCTTGCCTGTTACTCCCTTCCCCACCCTCGTTCGCATCAAAAAGGAGCTGCGACTGCTTCAAAACCTTTATGGGTTGTATAACGACGTATTGGAGAAACGGCAGCAATACAACGAAACACTTTGGAGCGATCTCAATCTGGACCAGATTAACAACGATATGAACGACTTCCAGAACAAGATCAAAAAGCTGCCCAAGGCGCTAAAAGAGTGGGATGCTTTCTTGGAGCTGAAGAAGATTGTGGACAATCTGACGGCTATTGTACCTCTTCTTGAGATGATGAGCAACAAGGCCATGCAGCCACGCCACTGGGACAGAATCCAACAGCTCACCAACTCTACATTCAACCTTGACCCAGAAATGTTTTACCTCAAAAACCTTCTTGATGCGCCTTTGAATGAGAATCGGGACGATATTGAAGACATATGCACGGCAGCAGTCAAGGAAGCTGACATCGAGATCAAATTGAAGCAGGTCGTGACCGAATGGGAGGATAAGAGCTTTATTCTTGCCGCTTTTAAAAATAGGGGTAACCTTATTTTGAAACCGTCCTCAACTTCTGAAATCATCTCTCAAATGGAGGATGGTTTGATGACCCTCGCATCACTGATGAGTAACCGTTACAATGCGCCCTTTAAGCCCGTCATCCAGACCTGGGTTCACAATCTATCGACAGCATCTGAAGTCATTGAGAACTGGTTGGCGGTACAGAACCTGTGGATTTACTTGGAAGCGGTTTTCGTAGGAGGTGACATTGCCAAACAGATGCCAAAGGAAGCAAAGCGGTTTAGCAACATCGATAAGAGCTGGGTGAAGATTATGAGTCTGGCCAATGAGCATCCAAATGTCATCCAATGTTGTGTACTGGACGAGACGATTGCAAACCTGCTTCCGCATCTAACGGAACAGCTCGAGCTGTGTCAAAAGTCTCTTTCCGGCTATCTGGAGTCCAAGCGTGCTATTTTCCCTCGTTTCTATTTCGTGTCCGACCCGGCGCTTCTTGAGATTTTGGGACAGGCGAGCGACTCACATACGATTCAAGCGCACTTGAAGTCTGTTTTTGACAATGTCAACAATGTCCAGTTCCACGAGAAGGATTATGACAAAATCCTTGCCCTTGAAAGTGCCGAGGGTGAGCGTGTACCCTTGAGTCGACACATGCTTGCCGCGGGCAACGTTGAAATGTGGTTGGGCACTCTCCTAAAGTCAATGCAAACAACTATCAACGACATCATTCGTGAAGCGGCTAGCAGGATGAACGATATGCCTCTGCAAAAATTCATGGATGAGTATCCTGCTCAGGTTGGGTTGTTGTGTCTCCAGATTCAATGGACGCAGATGTGCGAGGAAGCACTGCAAGCGTCAAAGACGGACAAAAAGAAGATGGCTGCAACAAATCAGCGAATTACTGAGATTTTGAACACCCTGATTGAAGTGACCACCAGAGATTTAACTAAGATGGATCGAACAAAGTATGAGACTCTCATCACAATCCAAGTGCATCACCGGGATGTGTTTGAGAAGCTTTATAAAGCGCACGTCAAGAGTCCAGATGACTTTGAGTGGCTCAAGCAGGCTCGATTCTACTGGCAAGAGACAAAGGACTGTTGCGTTGTTTCGATCACAAACTTCGACTTTAAATACCAGTGCGAGTACCTTGGGTGCACGGATCGTTTGGTCATTACCCCTCTCACCGATCGTTGTTACATTACGCTCGCCCAAGCGATTGGTATGTCATTAGGAGGCTCACCAGCCGGTCCTGCCGGAACGGGTAAAACGGAATCCGTCAAGGATCTTGGAAAGAATCTTGGAAAATGGGTTGTCGTATTCAACTGTTCAGATCAAATGGATTACCGTGGTTTAGGTCGTATCTTCAAGGGATTGGCGCAAAGTGGATGTTGGGGCTGTTTCGACGAGTTCAACCGTATCGAACTACCGGTATTGTCCGTCGCTGCCCAGCAGATTGGTTGTGTGTTCTCCGCAAGGAAGGAAAGGAAGAGCTCCTTCATTTTCACAGACGGTGATACAGTTGAACTTAACCCCGAAGTAGGTATGTTCATCACCATGAACCCCGGTTATGCAGGACGTGTCGAGCTTCCCGAGAATTTGAAGGTCCACTTCCGTTACGTAGCGATGATGGTTCCTGATCGCCAGATCATCATGAGGGTGAAGTTGGCCGGATGTGGTTTCCTGAACAACATCATCCTGGCAAAGAAGTTCTTTGTCCTCTACCGTCTTTGCGAGGAGCAGCTTTCCAAGCAAGTGCACTATGATTTTGGTCTTCGTAACATTTTGTCAGTATTGCGTACTTGCGGTGCAGCGAAGCGTGGAAATCCTGAAGATTCAGAGAATCTGATTATCATGCGTGTTCTTCGTGACATGAACTTGTCCAAGCTCGTAGACGAGGATGAGGCGCTTTTCTTGAGTTTGGTGAATGATTTGTTCCCCGGCTTGACTGCAAAGAAGAGTACATATCCAAGTATGGAGGCGGCTATCGACCAGCAGCTCCAGGATGCCAATCTCATCAATCACCCCCCGTGGACGCTGAAGGTCATTCAGTTGTACGAAACTGCAAAAGTCCGTCACGGTATTATGGTCCTCGGACCCACAGGTACGGGTAAGACGAAATGTATCAACGCATTGCTGAAAGCTATGACGGCTTGCGGCGATCCACACAAGGAATTGAGAATGAACCCGAAAGCCATTACCGATTATCAAATGTTTGGACGGTTGGATGTTGCAACCAATGACTGGACAGACGGTATTTTCTCATCTTTGTGGAGAAAAACGCTAAAGAAAAAAGGTGAAACTATTTGGATCGTATTGGACGGTCCTGTCGACGCAGTGTGGATTGAGAATTTGAACAGTGTTCTGGACGATAACAAGTGCTTGACACTGGCAAACGGTGATCGTATTCCCATGTCAGCCGCTTGTAAGCTCACATTTGAGGTCCACAGTTTGAGAAACGCATCTCCGGCTACGGTATCTCGTTGTGGTATGATCTACATCGGTGTGACGGCACTCTCATGGGACATTGTCCTTCAGTCGTGGTTCAAATCCCGGGCAGCATCCGAGGTAGCCGTCCTTGAACCTCTGTTCAACGCCAGCTTTGGTGCTTGCAGCAACTACATGAACTTGGAGCTGCACCCCAAGATGATCATTGCGCGTGTGCAATATGTTGTTAATTGCACGACGTTGTTGAATGGATTGATCCCCAAGGCCGAGGCAAACAAGTCACAAATTGCCGCTGATCACTTGGAGAGGCTGTATGTATTCTGTTTGTTCTGGGCATTGGGGGCTCTTTTGGAACTTGATGAGCGGAAGAAGCTTCAGACGTTCATGCTGGAGAAATGTCCGGACCTCAAGTACCCACCACTTGATCAGAATAGCCAAGACACATTCTACGAGTACTTTGTCGATGAGTCTGGTCAATGGAGTCATTGGCGTGAGCGTGTACCGGGATGGCAGTACCCTCAAGACAGCACTCCAGAGTTCTCTAGCATCATCATTCCTACTGTGGACAATGTTCGAACAGAGTTTTTGATCGACACAGTTTCCAAGCAGTCCAAATCGGTCCTACTTATTGGTGAGCCTGGAACGGCCAAAACGGTCACCGTCAGAAAATACCTCGCGAAGCTCAATCCCGACACTCATTTGTCGAAGAACTTGAGTTTCTCATCCGCAACCACTCCCATGATCTTCCAGCGAACTATTGAAAGCTATCTCGACAAGCGCATGGGTTCTACCTACGGTCCACCTGCCGGAAAGAAGATGATCTTATTTATTGACGACATCAACATGCCCGAGATCAACGAGTGGGGTGATCAGGTAACTGGAGAAATTGTCCGACAGTTGATGGAGTACCAAGGCTTCTATTCTCTGGACCGACCTGGTGATTGGACAGGCATTGTTGATTTGCAGTTCTTGGGGGCTATGATGCACCCCGGAGGTGGTCGTAACGATATTCCGAGTCGTCTAAAGCGACAGTTCTTGGTCATCAACTGTACGATTCCATCTGACGTCTCTGTTGACAAGATCTTTGGCACGATGTTGGAGGGACATTTCTCAGCCGCTCGCAAATTCCCAGAAGAAGTTATCGCAATGGCTGCTCGTCTACCAGCACTTACTCGGCGATTGTGGCAATCGACAAAAGCAAAAATGCTTCCCACACCTGCTAAATTCCACTACATTTTCAACTTGCGGGACCTGTCCCGTATTGTGGAGGGCATGCTTAACACTAAATCTGAAGTTATCAACAGCACCAAAATGCTGCTTCATTTGTGGGAGCATGAATGTTCTCGTGTGATCCCGGATCGGTTTGTCACATCTGAGGATATCGACTGGTTCAGCAAGACTCTGGTTAACCTTGTCCAGAAAGAGGTTGGTGACGATGCTGCAGCCGCAGTCGCTCAAAAGAGCTACTTTGTAGACTTCTTGCGGGAACCCCCAGAAATCGATGACCCGGACGTTGAAATTGACTTGGATGCCCTCAAGGTTTACGAAAAGATTCCTTCGTTCGAGGCTCTTCGTGACCGATTGCAGGACTATATGAAGCAATACAATGAAAACATCCGTGGATCTAAAATGGATCTGGTACTTTTTGAGGACGCTATGAAGCACATTGTTAGGATCTCACGTATCATTCGCACTCCTCGTGGAAACGCTCTGCTGGTTGGTGTCGGAGGTTCCGGCAAACAGTCCTTGACCAAGTTGGCTGCATTTATTGCGAAAAGTCAGGTCTTCCAGATCTCCATCTCAAAGAATTACAGCGTTCAAAACCTGATGGAAGACTTCAAATTTATGTACAAACTTGCCGGAGCACAAGGGAAATCCGTAACCTTCATCTTCACTGACAACGAAGTCAAGGAGGAAGCTTTCCTCGGATATATTAACAACATTCTTACATCCGGTGAAATCACCAACCTCTTCCCGAAAGATGAGGTGATTGGTATCACTGGCGATCTCCGGGTGCCCATGAAAAAGGCCCGGCCAACAGTTCCGGACACACTGGAAAATCTCTGGCAGTTCTTCATTGACCGTGTAAAGGCCAACCTCCACGTTGTGCTTTGCTTTTCGCCTGTTGGTGACAAGTTCCGAAACCGGTCGCTGAAATTCCCTGGGCTCGTTTCTGGATGTACGATGGACTGGTTCACCCGCTGGCCAAACGAGGCATTGCGGGCTGTTGCGGAGAAGTATCTAAATGAGGTGGACATCGTAGGTACGGATCAAGTTAGAAAGGAGGTCGTAGCGCATATGGCCTTTGTCCACGACCTTGTGGCGGAGGCCTGCAACAACTATTTTGTGCAGTTCCGTCGCAGGACCCATGTGACTCCAAAGTCCTACCTGTCGTTCTTGGACTCTTACAAGACACTATATGTGCAAAAACGGAATGAAGTGGGTGGCCTTGCCGATCGAATGAACATGGGTCTAGCAAAACTGGTGGAAGCTTCCAAATCAGTCGCTCAGTTGCAAGAAGAACTTGTTGTGAAGGAGCGCGATCTAGCCGTGGCCTCCAAGGCTGCTGATGCCGTGCTCGCTGAGGTGACAGCCAGTACAGCCTCAGCCGAAAAGGTCAAGGATGCTGTGCTCAAGGTGAAAACCAAATCCGAAGGGATTGCAAACGCAATCAAAGCGGACAAGGAATATGCCGAGTCACAACTCGAGGCCGCCAAACCAGCGTTGGAGGAAGCCACCAATGCGTTGAACTCTATTCAGCCAGCCCACATCTCCACAGTTCGTAAGCTGGCAAAACCGCCTCACCTTGTCATGCGTATCATGGATGGTGTGCTCCTGCTACAAAAACGGAAAGTAGATCCGGTTGTCCAGGATCCAGACAGGCCTTGTGTGAAGCCATCATGGAGCGAGTCTCTCAAACTCATGTCAGCCTCGGACTTTTTGTCTTCGCTCGTGAACTTCCCTAAAGATGAGATAAATGAGGAAACAGTCGAGCTGTTGGAGCCTTACCTCGAAATGCCGGATTTCAATCTTGAAGGTGCCAAAAAGGTGTCTGCTGATGTCGCCGGTCTTACCTCTTGGGTCAAGGCTATGGCGTTTTACTTTGGCGTGAACAAGAAAGTGATCCCATTGAAGGCTAATCTGATCGTTCAAGAGCACAAACTTGCTTTGGCCATGGAGGACTTGAATAAAGCTCAACAACAGTTGGATGAGAAGCAAGCGGAATTAGACGTTTTCAAAGAAAAGTATAACCAAGCTGTCGGAACGAAGCAAGCGTTACAAGCCGACGCCGATAATTGTAAGCGGAAGATGAACGCAGCCACTGCCCTCATTTCTGGATTGAAAGGAGAAAAAGATCGTTGGACGATTCAAAGTAAAGAGTTCGCCGAGAGAATCGGCCGTCTTGTGGGTGATATTATTCTCGCCACAGCTTTTCTGTCATACAGCGGGCCTTTCAATCAGTCCTTCCGAGCCCAACTCTTGTCTGACTGGAAAAGGGAACTGGTCAAACGAAAGATCCCACACAGTGAGGATTTGGACATTGCAGGTCTTCTGGTTGACCCTACTACTGTCGGAGAATGGAACATTCAAGGGTTACCGACGGACGAACTCTCTATCCAAAACGGTATTGTCGTCAACAAGGGCTCGAGATACCCTCTCCTGATTGACCCACAAAACCAGGCGAAAGTCTGGATTAAAAACAAGGAAGAGAAGAATAAACTCCTCGTTACGAGTCTCACAAACAAGTACTTCCGTGCGCATGTCGAGGACTGCGTCAGTCAAGGCCGGCCCTTGCTGATTGAAGACGTCGAGGAGACCCTCGACCCTACGCTAGACAACATCCTAGAAAAGAATTTGATGAAAGCCGGTAGATCGTTTAAGGTCGCATTTGGAGACAAGGAGCTGGATTGGAGTGACGGATTCTATCTCTTCATCACCACCAAACTTCCCAATCCCAACTGGTCTCCGGAAATGTACGCCAAATGTTCAGTTATCGACTTTACTGTTACGCACAAAGGTCTGGAAGAGCAACTTTTGGGCCGCGTCATCATGCGCGAGAAACAAGAACTTGAAACAGAGCGAGCCAAGCTTCTCGAAGAAGTCAACTCCAACAAGCGGAAAATGAAACAGCTTGAAGATAATCTTTTGGAGAGGTTGACATCGACTCAGGGATCTCTTGTTGACGATGAGTCGCTGATTGAAGTGCTGGCCGTAACGAAAACCACAGCAGAGGAAGTTAACGAGAAGCTCGTCGTCGCGGCTGAAACCCAAAAGAAAATTGGGACAGCCCGTGAAGAATATCGACCGGTCGCTAGCCGAGGTTCCATTATTTATTTCCTGATCGCAGAAATGAGCATGGTGAACGTTATGTACCAAACTTCCCTCAAACAGTTCCTGCAGCTGTTTGATGAAAGTATGGAAAGGAGTGCTCCATCCCCGATTCCAAGCAAACGAATTCAAAACATTATCGAGTACTGTACCTTCCGTGCGTTCTCCTACATTGCGCGAGGACTTTACGAAATCCACAAAGTCCTCTTTGTCCTGTTGCTGGCAATCAAGATTGACATTTCCATGAACAAAATCTCCCATGATGAGTTCCGATGCTTAATCAAGGGAGGTGCTGCGTTGGATATCAATGCCGTCGTCAAAAAGCCCTTCAACTGGATTCCAGACATGACGTGGCTCAACTTGGTTGCCTTGAGCAAAATGCCCGGTTTCAACGATTTGTTGAACCAAATTGGAAAGAATGAGAAGGCTTGGAGGTCCTGGTATGAAAAGGATGCCCCGGAGAATGAGATGCTCCCAAGTGGGTATCAAAATACGTTGGATGCTTTCCGTCGGTTGTTGCTCGTCCGGTCCTGGTGCCTCGACCGAACTATAATGATGGCCAAACAGTACATTGCCGAGTCCATGTCCCCCCGGTTTGCCGAATCCCAAATCTTGGACCTCGACGCCTTGCTCACTGAATCGGATAACCGAACCCCTATGATCTGTCTGTTGTCCACTGGATCTGATCCATCAGCGGATATAGAGAATCTGAGCAAGAAGTACAAGATTGACATCAAGGCTATTTCCATGGGACAAGGACAAGAAGTACATGCACGCAAACTCTTGTCGGCCTTCATGACCAACGGAGGTTGGGCTTTACTCCAAAACTGTCACTTGGGAATCCCGTTCATGGACGAACTCCTTGGACTCATCCTCGAAACTGAGACCGTACACGATAAGTTCCGCCTCTGGATCACCACAGATGTTAGCCCCAAATTCCCCATCACATTCCTGCAAATGTCCATTAAATTCACGAACGAGCCTCCTCAGGGGGTGAAAGCCGGTCTCAAGCGGACATATGCCTGGTTCACGCAAGATATGCTTGACATGAGTCCAAGACCGCAGTACAAACCTCTGTTGTACGGTCTGGCATTCTTGCATTCCATTGTGCAAGAACGACGAAAGTTTGGACCGTTGGGATGGAACATTCCCTACGAGTTCAACCAGAGTGATTTGGCGGCTAGTGTCCAATTTGTGCAGAACCATGTGGATGAACTGGCTCCAAAGGCTCCCATCTCGTGGACGACGGCAAGGTTCATGTTCTGCGAGGTTCATTATGGTGGAAGAGTTACAGACGATTTTGATCGGTGAGTATTACATGTTTCTGCAAACTTCTAGGCATCACATATAGGTTTATGCTCAACTATCTACTCTACTCTACCAGTCGCCTTCTCAACACCTATGGAAAAGTCTGGTTCGGAGATCACATGTTCGCCGACACCTTTGCATTCTACAAGGGCTATACCATTCCATATCTCAAATCTGTCGATGAATATCGCGCCTCCATTGAATCCCTTCCTCTCATCGACACACCCGACGTCTTCGGCCTGCACCCCAATGCCGATATCTCCTCCCAAACGAAAGAATCTCAGCAAATGCTGGACACGATCATGTCAATCCAACCCAAAGATTCCAACACGGGGACTGGAGAAACAAGGGAAGAAGTCGTGAAACGTATTGCCAACGACCTGTTGAGCAAATTGCCCGAGGACTTTGACAAGAACAAAACCAAATCATGCATACAGAAACAAGGAGGTCCCAAGCCTCTCAACATCTTCCTTGGACAAGAAGTCGACCGCATGCAGATCGTCATCGGAGCCGTCCGCTCCACTCTTTCTGACCTCAAACTGGCCATTGACGGAACCATCATCGTCAGTGCTCAACTCCAAGAAGCCCTTGACGCCCTCTACGACGCTCGAGTCCCGACGGCGTGGATCAAAATCTCGTGGCAAGGATCTACACTCGGGTTATGGTATTCAGAGCTGTTGACTCGAGTCGCGCAGTTCCAGACGTGGCTGTACGATGGACGGCCGTTGGTGTTTTGGTTGAGTGGGTTCTTTAACCCACAAGGGTTCTTGACGGCGATTCGGCAGGAGATTACGAGGGTACACAATGGGTGGGCGTTGGACAACGTCAAGGTAAATCTAGTCAATTTTCCATCACTATCAACTAGTTAACATTGTCGCTCACACAATCTCTTCCCATTCAGCTCGCTCCAGAGGTCATGAAACAAATGAAAGAAGACATAACTGCACCCCCCGCCGAAGGCGTGTACATCCACGGCCTTTTCATCGAAGGTGCTGCTTGGGACCGGAAGAACATCCGACTGACCGAGTCTCAACCCAAGGTCATTTACCAAGCCATGCCAGTCGTTCACGTCTCTGCTACCAATTCGACGGATGAAGGGGATCCTAGGATGTATAAATGTCCAGTATACCGACGACCTCGACGAACGGATCAGAATTACGTTTTCGACATTGAGTTGAAGACGGTACAGAATCCGGACTATTGGATTATGAGGGGGGTTGCATTGCTTTGTGCGACAAGTTAGACTGTTGGTTCTTGCGAGGATTTTTTGACGTTTTCTGCCACGCCCTTTTTGTGTATTTTTCTACTGTATGGGATACTTGTCGAGACTGGGATCGTTTGTCTTGGGGATTTTTTCCTGTGGATAGATAGTCGATAATATGATGGACGATTGTAAATACTACTTTTCAAATGTCCGTTTCATGGCCGTTTTCAGACATGTAAGGTGCAAGTGACCAATCACAGCACAGTCCAGATTCCAAGATACTCGAGAAATATATTACAAACAAAAATACTATCTTCTACCAAACCCCAATACATTATGCCTCTCCATTTGCCGCCATAAGCAACATACCCAACAAATCTCTCGCCTCGCTCACCTGTCCGTCCGCTGCCCCCTGCTGAGCTTGAACCTGCTGACCTCCCTCCCCAAACAGCCCATCATGGTTCCCTCCAAAAGCCGCTATCTCTCCAAAGCCTGCTACACCCGCCACCCTCGCCGCTGCCGCCGCTGCAGCAGCAGCAGCCGCACGAGCCTGCCACTCCACATCCTGCTCCGAAGGCGCACCCTCCTGCCCATGCCCCAATGAACTCAATTCCTCCTCGACCGCTGCATCAGCAGCGAGGTTCCCTCCCCCATCGTTATTGTTCGTGCTCCCTGGTGCACCTCCACCACCAACCCACCACCTTCGATCCACAAACCGGGCTGAAACTGGGTTTCGATGTGCTTCGCCGGCTGTCACCTGATTTCTCGGTGTGACCTGCTGCAAAAAGGCGGGAAAGCCCGGATAGACCCTGTATCCCACTGATGGTGGTGGTCGGTCGAGCAGATATGGTGGCTTTGCGGCTGGGTAGTTGACCTGGGGCTTACGTCGTCGGTACGAAGTGGGTGCACGGCGGGCTCGGATGTGTGGGACAAGAGGGGGTTCTGTGAGGGGTTGAAGGAGTCTAACGAGGGTATTGGAGCGGTCGGTTGTGGATGTTGTTGGGCCTGACGTTGCCGTCGACGTCGATATTGATGTCCCTCCAACCTCCTTCCCGACGGTGAGAGCAACATCAAACGCCTCCGCTGGTAGCGGCGGCAAAGGATCAATAGCAGGCACAGCATGCGGAATATCATTCAACCCCGCCAAGAGTGTTTCAGCAACCGACGCTGCCGGCGTTGCAGGAAGAGGTCCCTCCGGCACTGCTGCGCTTGTGTCATCGTCATCGCTAATGTTTTCGGTTTGTCTGTCCGTTTTTCGTCGCTTTCGGATAGGTTCTTGGGCCTGTCCTTGAACGTTGGGTTCCGCGCGGGGTCCCATGCCGTCTTTGCGTTTGACGGATTGGAGCGTGATACCCGGAACGGTAGGCGCGTCACCTCCGGCGCTCATCAACCCAAACTCGGTTTACAAAACGCTTCCTTCTTATAAAACCAAAAAGACAAAATGCTCCTCAAACAAGTCGGTGTATTGCTCGTAGTCGTCTAAACACAAAAGCTGTGTATATTATATCAAAACGCTTGTAAAATGGCAAAACCCAAATGACTTGACGCCAGAAGGTGCGACGAGGGGCCCCCAACGTCGGAGTCCCCGCCATGCGTCTTACTGCCATAGCAACGGTATCCATGTCAACAACTAGTTCCATTGCTGCGCCGTGACGTAATCAACTTGTCGTCGTCGTCGTCGTTTTTCCCTTTTGTTTATTTTCTAACCTATGCAAAACATCTATACACTATTACATCTCTAGAAAATGCTTTTATATGCATCCAATCCACCAGCACTACCAACCGCTTGCCAAAGCGCCTCCCGCCCAACCTTGCTTTCACATTCCTCCAAACATTTCTTGACAAAGCCAGCAAACACGACCCCCGACACAGGATCAGACTCCATGAGAAGCCTGCGTCGCTGGGCATCCAGAGAAGCATCGTCTTCGTCATCGGTCCGGGGTTCGTACGTATAGATTAATGTTCTGAAAAACAAAAATTCACTTAAACATGGCCTAATAATATCACGATAAATCAAAAAAAAAAAAGATACATACTGGTCAGAGTCCAAATCCCGTAACTCAATGGCAACGCTCGACAAGACGGGCAAAATGTTCTGAATCCGAGAAAACACGTCTGGAGCACCGGTCGAAAAGAGTGTAGCGAGGGCCATAGCAGTCAATTTCCGTTGCTTGCCGTACCCCATGTTATCAAACTACCAAAAGGCAACAGTATAAAAAATCCCAACCCCGTACATAGCCGTAATCGGACAAACTCACCTTATCACACCATGCATCCACCAAGGCACTCACCCACGCACCAACAACTCCCACAAACCCCGCAGCATCGCAAACAACTACCCGACCAACAACTCCCAAACACCCGACAACCACCACGCCCACCTCCTTATCCTCCACCACGACGCCCACAAGTTTCTCCAACAGCCCAGTTTGGACCAACACGTCGCGTATTGCGTGGAAGCAGTTAGACGCGTGGCAGGACTGCAGGATGACGTCCAAGCAGCGGAGGATAGAAGTGGAGGCTTCGGGGCGGAGGGAACCAAGCATAGTGCATAGGCGTGTGAGGATAGGATGTGCGTACGTCTGTCGTGACCAAATTGAATAAAAGCAACCCACTGTATGCTACCATCCGAATCCACACGTACCTGTAACACCCCAACCGGTTCCAAAACCACGTAACTCTCCACAACCTTCAACACCGTTTTCAAGCTCTCGCTTCCGTATTCTAACAACGCCATACCGTACTCAAGCAAAGCAGCAAGTTGTGGTGTACAGCGCGGGGTATTCTGAATAACGGCTAGCCAGAGATCAATGGCATCTTCCAGGAGGTAAATATGTGCCGGCTAACGGGTGAATGAGTACATGGGTCACGAAAATGTAAGAGGTGGGTAGTAACGTACGTTTTGAACGTTGAGACTAAAGGAAAGAACGGGAATCACAAAATCGTGGAGTTGCACCGATTCCGCTCGCAGCGCCTAAGAAACCAGTCAGCGATTCAAACAATCCACCTAAATCCACGACGCATCCATCAACTAAAGCATACCACAACAAGCCTCTGCAAAACCACCACAATCGAGGCCCGAAACATCTCCTGCCCTTCCGCCCCCTCCCACACCCTCGGCAACAACGCCATAATCTTCGGAACAAATGCACCCAGCTCCCCTTGAAACCTCTCTATAATAACCCCCAAACACCCAACAACCCCCACACAACTCGAAACGCCATCCACATCGTCAAGAATACCAGAAAACGCGTTCAAAAACACATCAAAGAACGGGTAAAATGTTTTTGGGTCGAATTCAAAGTCGTCCACGAGAGTTTTCAACGTTGTTATGCATGTGAGTCGGACGACGAGGTCGTAGGGTGGTGTCATGAGACGGACTAAGAGGGTATATATGTACGGGCGAAGGGATGGTGTGGGGTTGGATTGAGAGCCAGTGGGAGATGAGCCATGGAAATCCGGCGATGAAGTAGTGTTAAACTATAGAAAGGGTAGATACACCACTTTCTCTACAAGAAGATACCCAAACGTACCGTGTATCCGTATTGGATGCCTCTGCCCACAATTTAATTTCCAAACCACTGCTCGAAATTTACTAAATCGTATAAATCATGGGCGGCAAGTCCGATAGCGCAATATACGGCATCCTTGAGAAAGATGGCGTTCGTATCGGCAGGATCGCAAGGGTCTGGAAGGTTCGTTACTAAAAGTTGCAAGAACAGGTTCAGTGGGCACTACGTACCAGCAACCATGCGCAACATGTTCATCACAACCGGCTGCAATACGGCACGGTTAGTTGACATGAGATCCATAAACACTTTTTCTGCACAGGCCTATCACGCGAAAATACATGAGCAAAATCCGCAATTAACAGAACGTACATTATCGAACCCACCCTTAAATGAAACTCCCAAGCATCCGCCTCCTCCTCTTCAATCCATGCCTCCGGATCCGCCTTCCACACCTCAACCTCTTCCATGGTCATGACCATATACCGCCCCACCAAGACCTCACAAGCTCGCTGGACGAATTCAGGTGTCAAAAGGTGCTGCCCAATCAGAGCCTTGATGGAGGGAGAGTCAGCGGGAGGAGTTGCGGTCAATGGGTCGTGTTTCTCAGATGGGGGTCTAAGGAGGGTTTTGAGGAGGCGGAGGGACTGGATGAGAAGCTTTTCCGTTGTCGTGTCCTCTATTCATCATATAAGTAAATACATCGTCACCGCTAGCATCCAACGTACATGGCCTTACCTCGATTTCCGACCCCACTTTCCACCAAACTCCAGTAGTATTTGACAACATCCATGCTACCAGGCATTACAACAAATCCGGATACATGTTGGTTCGCTAGGTTCAGATAGACTTTTCCAATCTGCACAACCGCGGAGGACACGAGTTTGTGAAGTCGGGTTGCCGTAGGTGGGATTGCAGGTCCTTTTCAATTGATGAGTAACACACCCCCAGAAAAAACACAATGCAACATCACCACTTACGCAACACCAAAAACTTTTTCAAGTACTCCAGCAACACACCAAAGACCGCAACCACCTCTTGAACGCGTTCCACCTCTTTGAACCCATACACAACAACGCGTCGCAGCGCCTTCAAGGCAATCAGCCCTAATCGCAGGGCACTTTCGGCCTCAGAGTAATCAGAAACCGCATTCGCGACAATGGCTTCTGAGAGTGATATAAAGTGGTTGCACCGGTCTGTAAAGATGGTTGCAGTGTAATGAAGGAGCTGGGGTGCGAGCTAGAAAAAGAACCAATCAGGGAACAATAGCATGATATCGGGGCACAACGTCACACACCTCTCGAAACATTTTGCGACTCGCAGGCATCATTGAATAACAAAGCGCCTTGACAACCCCGTAAAGCGTACTCAAAGCCCGCACCTTGACCACCTCCTCCCCCTTGGCAGCAAAACTCGTCTCAACCGTCCCAACAAGCACATGCAACAAATCCGGCCAGTCATTCGGATAATCTAATCGGGCAATGCGGGATATAATGAGTATGTTGTAGTTGGCGAGTTTGTCGTTTGGTTCTGTAAAGGTGGTGAGAAGCTTGCTTTTGATTTGAGACTTTTCGGGAGGTTGAATGCCTCTGTACATCAATGGTTTGGTGAGCATTGAAAGTGTGGATAATACGGGGTTGGGTGGGCACGTACCCGACACGCACGGTTTTTCGCCAATATTTGTCGATACCATTTTTGAGTGTAATGATGGCCAGCAGCCGGATTCTAATATCAAGAGACGTATCGTACGCAACCGCCTATATTCTCAAAAAGCCACTGTAAGAATGTATGGGTGCAGTAAACAAAAGAATACACAAACCTGCAAAGTCGAATGAAAACCAGGCTCAATTTCCCATGCTTTCAACTGCTCGTCAGCCGGCTTTCGTACCTCGGAAAGAGGAGATGCAGCCGCTGTCAGGACGGAGCATATTTGGTTGTACGCTGACATGGCCCGTACGTTTTGCCTTTGACGTACAGCGTAAAGCAGAGTCAAAACGACGACGACGACGACGAGATCGCTGTGGTGTGCTGTGCCACTATCACCACGGTAACAACAGCGACCGAAACCTTGTTGACCAGCAACGCAACAACTGTGAAAGTCCAACGATGCCCCTATCCAGTTGATAAAGAGATATAGAATGATATATTGCCAGTGAATCTAGTATATACATGCTCACAGCACATTAAAATCGTAGAACAAAAAGGATACTAAAAGGGAATCTGGGGAAATAAACGCACAAAATCATCATAGCGCCAGATACTTTTCCTTGACCCTGTAGTACTGTCCAAATCGCTGCAACCCATATCCCACAAAGTCAAAATCAATATTCGTTTCGCCAGCCTGCATGATCCCCCACAAGCCCCAAAGTAGGTGCGAACAAAGCGCAAACTTGTTTGTTTCCTTGTACATTTGGTCGAGGAGAGACGCGCGAGTGGAGGGAGAGGGAGGTGGGACGTCTCCGGCTTCAATTTGGGCATCGAGGTAAGCGGAAAAGAAGGAGAGTTGCTCGGATTGGGTGGGATACTTTTCGAAATGCATCAAGTGTGGGTTGGGGGAGTGGTAATCTACAGTGTGCAAAGAGAGTGAGCGAAATGAAAAGGGGGAAGGCAATGACGGGTACGGTCTTTACCTGCCGCCCATTCACAAAAGTGGTTTCCAAAATCGTAGCCTCGGTAATTGACACTGGAGTACTCGTAATCAACCACAATGATGGATCCGTCCTTGTTCTTTCGCAAAATGTTGCCGTATTGTGCCTACGATATCAAAGATCACAAAGATGAGCCTAGTTCAGCGGTGCATACGGAAACAAACGAAACCCTACATCATTGTGAGCAAACACGATGGGAGATCCAATATTGCTCAACTTGGCTTCCAGCTCGTCAATCTCGGCAGCAACCGTCTTGATGTTCACCACTTTTCTCAATTTAGCATACCGCTCCGGCTGGTTCCTTTTGAATTCCGTGACGGCTTTGGAAGCAAGGCGGTGCCATTTACGCAATTTGGTCCACAAATCGGGAGAGGACGCTTCGTGGGCATCGCAGTTTTGGATCAGCTTATGGAGCTTGTACATGGCTTGAGCAATTTGGCGGGAGGTGGATGGGTCGCGAAGGTCCTCTTTGGTTAGAGTCGTGCTGTCCACTAAAAGAGGTGTATAACATGAATGAGACATGCGACAATGTAATGATAAAGCATCGTTGGCATGTAAATGTACGATACATACAAAACTGTTCAAACCGCCCATTCGCAAACGCCCCCAACAACCTTGGAGCAACACCCACATGCCCCATTTTACACAACCAAAACATTTCCCTGTCCCTCTTGATAAATGTATCCGCAGCGGATCCATAGACCCGCAGGAGGATTTTGGGAGGCTTGGCACCATCTTGTGCGGGGGGGCCACTGACGAAAAAGATACAGTTGGTCATGGCCCCGCTCACCCGTTCCAGTTGGATTTGTTCGGGGTTTGTAACATGAGACCAGAAATGGGGTAAGAGTTCGGTGAGGATGGCGAGGACACGGGTTTGGAGAGGTACACCCTTTCCTAGCTGACTGTATCGATGGTTCGCAATGACATTAGCCAAAAAGCACAGAAAACCAAAGCAGACATAAAGATACTTGCGCAAGGTCAATGGACTCGTGCGAAACAGGAATCCCATTCTCCTTCAAAAGAGCATGCAAGTAGTTTCGCCGCTCGTCGAGATCAGAACCGTCTGAGACAAACGAATGCGCGTCTTCAGCCGAATCATCTGTGGATGAGATGGGCTCTGCAGCCACGGCAACGCTGTCCCGTCGGTTGCTCGTAGGAGACGAGTGGACGCCTGGAGTTGTTGGTGGCGAGCGACATGCGGACGAGGGAGGCGTTGTCGGAGGGGCGTAATGGGAGTCGGGGAGGATATCCTTGGTAGGTGGTAAAACGTACATGATAATTAACAACCGTTTCTAAATCGTTTTCAAAGAGTCTTGTTGCTAAATCTCGTTCGTAGATGCAAATGGCTTAAATGGGTTTCTAGAAGAAAAAAAACTGGCGGGAGCGAGAACGATAAACGAACTGAGTTTTCTAGAGATATCAAAATATGAAATATAACCATAAAAGGAAATAATACCCAGCCACACACCATGACGCAAAAGGAAGGACACGCGACCAGCCGCTTTTGTGGCGTAGCGACGTCATGCAAAAAGTTTAATTGGCTTAGCGGAGGTTTCGTCCCATGACGGGTTTCGGCGGATCGTCACGAGCAAAGACTGCGGGGATGCTTGCAAGCAGTTGAGCAGATGAGCAGCTCGCTAACGGTGGTGACGGTTGCGATTCGTTGCCCACATGCACCATCCCATGAATGTTCATAGTGATCATGAGTGATAAGTCAATAGATGAGGTGCTTTTTCATGGTGTGCTTGAACGACATTTCATAGTGACAAGGTCATTGGCAATGATACCTTTTTTAAAACATGGGTTATGGTGCAAAAGGGACAGACAGGATTGACAAAAGGGTGTGTAGATCATCCCTTGGGTGGATCATAAGAGTTTCAGGGAGATTGCCAAGCTGAAAAACGTAACAGCAGGGATACCTGACACCTGGCGAATTGCCTTTGGGCATGTCATGCCATTTGAATTCATTCTTCCACCATTGAAATGAGCATGGTCGAGTCGAGACCTGCTTGATTGGGGGACTTTAAGCCTATAAACATGCTCGCTACTCTTTGTGATAGGGCACCGCTGCACGCACAAGGCAAGGCATAACATCAAGAGAAGGCAGCCAGAGATGCGCGCGCGCCATTCGGGCGCCATTCGGCGAAAGTATTCTCTTTCTTGGTCATTGGAACTTTTTCTGCTGACGAGGCCGACACCTTTGCTGAATGCGTCGGATGCCTCCTTTGGCAGCCCCTGCCAAAAGCAGACGCATGTCCCGCAGGACATTTCCAGCAGTCCATGTCGACGGACCACAACAAGTGGAAGGCCTGAGGAGGTGCGTCATATGAAATGCATTTATCCACATTCGAAGTGCAGTGGCTATGCAAGTCATTTATTTGTCAAAAGGAGTTTGAAGGAGAAGTGACCGATTTGACATGGCCCATTACCACCATGACAAGGCACATTACAGAAAAGACCAGGACGACGACTACGACAACGACAAGATGCAGAGCGGACACCACAGGGCTCGTTGCAGCAGCGACGACAAAAGGGGGCACTCCAAAATGGACGACAGAAAGGCTCGCGCGATAAAGGATAAGACGACAAACACTCCGCACGACTACTTTGCAGACATTCATATTCTTGACACGGGAAGCATCTTGGACTTTTTACCAGTTCCAGAGTCGACACACGCCGTCAAACACCGCTCGCAGCCCCTCCTCCAACCTCCTTCCGTTCCTTACACGGTCAAACACAGGGTGTCGCATGAATCCTACCTCGTACCCTCACGTCCTCGGCAAAAGCACACGTCTCATATTTCCCGCTTAAACCTCTCCCGCTTGCCAGACAAGATCCTTTCTCGCATCTTCTCATTCACGTCTGACCCCGCATCCTTCTCCCTCGTCTGCCGCCGCTTCCAGTCTGTCTCCAAATCCCCTCATGCCCGCGCGGGGTTTTTTCTTTTTCTTTACGGTACCCGGAATGCAATTCCCGCTGCACTCTTGGGTCCCTTTCATGCAGCATGTTACCTGGCCGTCCTCGACCTGCTCCTCCGACAGTGCCCTCTCCCGCGGTGGATCGTGCAACTAGCGGCTATTGATCGAGATATTCGCCGAGTGGAAAAGCATGCCGCTAGAAAGGTTGTGCGGAGGGACCCGCTTTGGACCACGGCATGGACGAGTGGGACGGTGGATCGGTTGGTCCAAAAGGGGAAGGAGCAGTATGGACACGAGGCAATAAGTGGCAGGGATTGGATGGACATGCAAGATGTTTTGGAGGAAGCCCGTGTGGGGACTCTGTTGCCAAGGGAATTTGAGAGGTTAAAAACCTTGATTGTTGATGCGCATTATACTGCGTGGAGCGTAATTGATGGAACACGTCCCGATCCTCCCTCCTCTGTTTCCTTTGCCTCTTTGACCTCGTCCACCTCCTCCTCCTCCTCCGACTATTTTCCCACACTTGTCAACTATCATCCGCCAACCGACACGATCCTGCGCTCCCTCCCCATCTCCTTCATCAACATCCTCTACCGCCCCGACATTCTCACCCTTCACGATCTCGCACCCTCCCTCCTTCGGCGTCTCACGACGCCTCAAACGGAGGAAACCATCAACACAATTGTCATGACGGAACGAGTGATGAAAGGGAGTTTGGTGGAAGTACAACGGTTATTGAAAAGTGGGTATCGTGTGTCAGAACGGGTGGTGGACAGAGTGAGAGTGTGGTTGCAGGCGGACAGAAGGCTGGATGAGGATGGGAGGAGGAGGGTCCGGAGGATATTAAAGGCAGTCACCGGGACCCCTTATGGTGAAGTTTAATCTATTGGACAATTCGCATATTTTTTGGGTTGCGTGTGAGGATACTCGTTGAACATTTAATGGTGGGTTATAGTAGCATTGACAAGTCTTAATTTTGGGAATAGCAGGGAAGATGGATATGTTGATGGATTTGTCTGGTTTGGTGTATATAGCTTGTAAAGTACGAATGTGATACTTTTTTCGCCTACACACATGTCCCACATTTATCAAATGGTCCATACATGCGACTTTTCTCCAAGCCCCAAAACCGCTCACGAGTTCAGCATGAAAAGCGTTGGCCGCATCTAATTGTCGGACGTGACCCACTCTGCATTCGCAACTAAGGAAATTCATGAATTAGTACGGAAATCACCCACCACAAAATCAAAGCATCTTTACATACACTCCCAGTTGAACACCTCCGACTTGCCAAACCACAATGCAATCTCCTTCTCCGCACTCTCAAATGAGTCTGATCCATGGATTATGTTGCGTCCCACACTGATGCAATAGTCTCCTCGGATGGTGCCTGGCTGGGCCTCAAGGGGGTTGGTTGCGCCAATGATGCGGCGACCTTGGCGAATTACATCCTTGCCTTCCCACACCATGGCAATCTATATTCACTTCACGCGTTAGAATGCACGTCTGAAGACAGCATGAACGCACACAAGGAATACATACAACAGGAGCAGATCCAGACGTCATGTACGAAACCAAGCCCGCAAAAAACGGACGCCCCTTCAGATCCGCATAATGCTCCTCTGCCAGCGCCTTGGATGGTACAATCGCCTTGATGCCAACCAACTTGTACCCTTTCCTCTCAAACCTCTCAATGACATTCGCCACCAGTCCCCGCTGCGTCCCATCGGGCTTGATGGCTATAAATGTGCGCTCGATCCCGCCTTTTTGTGCCGGCAGGGAAGGGGGCCTCGAGGTGGAGAGGGGAGGTAAGGAGCCCAAGGGTGGCCGCGCTACCCGTGGCGATGGCGACAATGCGGGGCCGTGCCAGGCGGGGAAGCTGCTGGAAGGCTCTGCGGGCCAGGTGGGGAAGCATACGGGCAAACATGATGCGTTTGTTCTCCAATGAAATCCTTTTAATAAAAAAAAGATGAAAGATGGAAATGTCTCCAAAACCCGCGAACGAGGCCCTTTTATATCCCGCTGATGGTTCCAACCAACCCACGCGCTCCTTCGCCCTCCCAAAGTCGCCGCGATCTCTCCTCGGCATCCAACCATAGACGACAAGATTTAGACAATCAAAAGATGGAATTTGACGATGTATTGACGAATCAACCTGTTGTTATTGATAATGTATGTCGTCTGTGCGTTTTAAAGAGTTGGTGGGACACTTGTTTAAATGTGCATTACAGGGGTCAGGCGTTATCAAGGCAGGTTTCGCTGGCGACGATCAGCCCAAATGTTTCTTTCCCTCCTTGTAAGTTACTTGTTCCATCTCCCTTTCTAGGCCTTACATTTACCGTGCATCATAGTGTGGGCCGCCCAAAGCATCACCGCGTTATGGCCGGTGCAGTCGAAGGTGACACATTTATTGGGAAAAAGGCCCAAGAGCTACGTGGATTGTTGCGAATAAGGTACCCGATGGAACACGGAGTTGTTACGGATTGGGATGATATGGAGAGAATTTGGGGGTTTGTGTATGAGGAAGAACTCAAGATATTGTCAGAGGAGGTGCGTTCTAGGCAACTTTAGAGTTGGGTCAACCATGTCCTAAAAGAAGGGAAAAACAACAGCACCCAGTCCTCTTAACAGAAGCCCCCCAAAACCCCCGCACAAACCGCGACACCGCCGCCCAAATCCTATTTGAGACCTTCAATGTCCCCGCCCTCTTTCTCTCCATCCAAGCCGTGCTCGCTCTCTACGCCTCAGGTCGAACAACCGGTATCGTCCTTGACATTGGTGATGGCGTCACACATGCTGTACCCGTCTACGAAGGCTTTTCCATGCCGCATGCCGTTAGAAGGGTGGACATGGCTGGACGAGATATCACACATCACCTTCAACTCTTGTTGCGCAAATCAGGATACTCACTCTCCACATCTGCCGAAAAAGAAGTCGTACGCATCATAAAGGAGAAAACATGTTACATTGCATCCAATCCCGCCAAGGAGGAAAAAGAGGCTGTTGGAAAATACGAGGACTTTATCTTACCCGATGGCACACCCCTTAAACTCGGACCAGAACGCTTCAGGGCCCCTGAAATCCTCTTTGCACCTGACCTCATCGGCCAAGAATTCCCAGGTGTTCACCAGCTTTGCGTAGACGCCATTCAAAAAGCCGATATGGACCTCCGGAAACACCTGTACTCAAACATGGTGCTGAGTGGCGGTACGACTCTTTGCCGGGGCTTTGGAGATCGGCTTTTGGGAGAAGTCAAGCGGTTGGCACTCAAGGATGTCAAGATAAAGATTTATGCACCACAAGAACGAAAGTATTCGACATGGATCGGCGGGTCGATTTTGGCTTCTTTGAGTATGTCTGCTGTTTTGATTGAGTGACGATTGACTAGCTACTCATGACTTTTTGTCTTTGCCACTTAGGTACATTTAAAAAGATGTGGGTGTCAGCTGAAGAATACCAAGAAGACCCCGATATTATTCACAAAAAGTTTATGGGGTGAATGTCTTTAATTTATGGGCTGTTGTATATAGAATGTGTGTGCGTTTTTCCTTGCCAACGGTGTCGTGTGAGTAGCCCCCGTCAGTGGGATGGCAATGTCGCTCAAAGAGAGCATCTTCTATCCTTGACCTCCTCCAAAATCCAATAAAAGCCGTCCTCTACTCTGCATACAACCCTCTAGTGCTCCGAAACTTCCGCATACCGATCAAATGTCTCTTTTGATACCGCAAACCCCCTCACAACATCTGCCTCCAGAAAATGCATCTTGCCACAAATCACCAGAGAGTGCAACGGAGGCCCGAAATCGACTGATTGGAGTTCCTCCAGTGTCCCTGCGACAATTTGCTGTGTGGCAGAACCGAGACGTGCTAGGCCGACTGCGATGGTGGTCGGACTGTAGGCGTCTGTGGTGACGGAAAGGAGTTGGGTGATGGCGGTTGGGATGGACATGTAGCGGGGAGGTTCGTAGATTTTGCGGCCGCTAATATGTACGTGCTGTTGGTCATTATGCCTATTTAAATACAAAGACATTTGATGTACGTACCGAGCCAGATTTTCAATACTTTGTTCTTTCACTTTAATATCTGCGCAAACAAAATACGTTATCACCACTCACTCTCCCAAACGTCACCCTCTACAGAAACACTTACCTAACAGACACAAGGTATGTAATCCCATCTGCCGATTCGCCCCAATCTTCTCCACAAAACTATCCGGTCTCCACGTCTCTGTAAAAAACACAATCGACACGGTCTGGCCGTACTGGTACAATGAAAGTCCACAACACCCAACAGCATTCATGACGCTCGCATTGTGGATCGGTACGGTGGGGATCCCCCGTTCTTGGGCTCGCAGAACAAGGTCGGTGTGGGTTGTTGCGCTACGCCAATATTAGTTACGACCGAGCAGACTAGTTCTTTGCAACAGCAAGCATACCCGAATGGATCTCCAACGACGAGAAAGGCGACATTAACTTTATCAGCGTCTTGTAAAATGGCGTCAGATTCCGTTTCGACCATATCTCGATCGGCAATAATAACGGGGCGTTCATAGAATGCCTCCTATATGCTACATGTCAATACTAAAATTCTCTATTGGACAAATGTTTGGGTACTCTACCAGTCGCTCTTTCCCAACTCCCAAAATACTCGTATACGCCTCCAAGTAAATTCGTGAGCATGATTTGACGGCTTCAAGGCCCTTGACAGTAATATCCTTTTCGTCCGATAGGCCTAGGCCTATAATGTAGAGCACCATGTTGACCAACAAAACCGTTCGCCAGGCCATCCCCGCCGAGCACCTTTGGCACCTCCATCTGAGGCTTGTTGACATGACAACGTCTTGGTCACCTTTTACGTAAAGCTCGATCATACACCTCTACTCTCCGCAAACTTATCACCTCAAGCAATAATGTCCAACCTCACCAACATCCATACTTTAAACGTAAGGTCCCATTTGTCAGTCTATATTCCGCAAACTAATACTTGACTAGCTTCTCCGATGGACGGCCCTCGGAACTGGTATTCTCTATGGAGGACTCAAAAGACAATATTTAGTCTCGTATGTCCAGGAACGCAAACAGGAGCGTGACAAAAAGTTGTTTGAGGAATTGGTGTACGAAGCGAGGGTGGTTTATACGGCGTTAAAGGAAAAGGAGCTGGCGGAAGTGGCAAAGAAAGAGTTTGGCAGTAGGTTTCGTTGTCCCCTCTCCAGTGTTTGCAAACGGTTTTGTTTATTTTGGGTTTGTTTGCTCTGTATAGTTGAGGCTATCGATCCGGATGACTACCGATTTGATGCAGAAAAGTACCTCAACTTTTTGATTGCCCAACAAGAAAAGGAGGCGGCCATCTTGCAAAAGTAGGCGCGTTGCGTGCGATCTGTGTGGTTTTAATGGGCTGTTGATGGGAATAGGTATCCCGTGGGCATATGATAGCAAGTTGGCATTGACAGATAGCTCATATACGCATACGCAATAAACAGAAAACTGAGACAGTCTTTCACATTTCGCAGCTGTCCATTCCCATCCTATCGATTTTATTAGCTAGGAAATAAAAGAAACGTGAAAACACAATATACACATGACATCTCAACCTGTGCAAAAAAATAATGTACATGAATCCAGCATTCACCATCTATGCCAACCCATCCACCCCTAGTAATGCCACGATCACTCCAAGCATCCCTATATCCAAACCTCTTGCCCACCACCCCATATTGATTGAAACGACATCAAAGACTTCCATACGCCCAACCGTACCTGTACCGAAAGGGAGCTCATGAGTCAGTCGAGAGAGTGTCATATGGAAGACGAGTTGTACGAAGATGAGGAAGGTGCCGAGGTTCTATGTGAGGTCAGCTCTTTGTAAAGCCTGCACACGACAAACAGGGGAACTTACCACTCGTTGCTTTGTTCCTTCTCCAACATGTTTACGTCGACCGAGGTATAAAGAACAGCACAAGCTGATGCAAAGAGCTAGGCTCAGTCCTACCGCATATAGTGCGCTACGATGGGCCTGTGCAAATATGAACCACGCTGCACATCAATTCCGATGCAATGGACATACATACCCCAGTGATTTGCAGCAAGACACCAAACACCATCAGCAATCGAGCTATCTTGGTCCCCGATTTGAATCGCTGCCGCGAACTTTGAAATGCGCGTAGTTGCCGATCGTCGTCGTCAAGTTTTGTAGAGCTCGCAAAGGCCCATTCGATGCCGAGTGACTGTTCATAGAGTTGGACAAAGGCGAGAATGCTTTATATAACGAACGGATGCTTACCTCAGCCAATGGATCCTTTGGTACACCGCCATCCACTGACAGGCGTTCCCGCCCCCGCTTCCAAAACCAGACGAAACCGCTTCCTTTGGGGTATCCATTACCTTGCTGAAAAAAACGAGTAAGTCGGGGTAATACGTGGGCTATAGTATGCCGCATCCACCCACCTCAGGTAATTGTGCATCTGCCTTCTGATCAATATTCACTTTCAGAGGTGCCGGCGGCATCATATTGATACGGGCGGGTTCTATAACACGTAATGTACAGGCACTCTGATATAGCAACTGGAAGCTGATCCTATTACTCAAAGGTCACCCTCATGGGTGCGATGAAGGATGGTTACGTACCGTGATAGATACCACAAGGAAAAAGCCATGAATAGTGAGCGTCGCAACCGGACTCCATACACCACGCACAATGTAGAGTGCCAAGGTTCTTAACGCAAACAACTCAAGCTGCAGCCACTGAATTCCAACAAATAACATCAATCCACCATGTCACAGATATATCAGACAGCATATGATTACCTGATACTCGTTCTGATTCCGTATCTTTGCATTCATTCTCGGTCGTGTGATCCACAAGGGATTCATCACAATGGCCGGTGCAGACAGAGCGTTGAGCCATGACAATGGAAGCAGACAAGTACACAAACATTGTACGCTGTCGGATGAGCTCATGGGAAAGCGAAAGAGACAGTCTAATCCCCATAGAGAGCGCCAGGTTGGAAGGGGGGTGCCAGTACCAGGCGACCATGTGCACCCGGCATGATTAAATGAAATTGGGTAAAGGACACCTATAGAGATCATTATAAATGGGCAGGCTGTGGTAACTGGTTCTAGCGCAACGTACCATAAATATGGAGCGCCAACATAGCGATGATACTGGCGCCTAGACACAACATCGCAGTCGCCCACAGATAGGGTAAACTTTCCATGTTGATCCATATTCGCGATGAATCGGCGGCGGATCGCCACTGCTGTGACGACTTTAGTGATTGGTACAGTAAGTGATGCTTCATCTTTTCGTAGGAGCTGTGCAGAGAGGCTTGGACGTTGTCGGCGCAGAGTGGACACACTGGAGGATATTTCTTCTCCAGTTGTCGTTTGTAATCTTCCACAGTTTCATTAAAATAGTCCTGGAGGGCGTCAGATCGGGATCTTAGGATATATAATCGAAACAGATCGCACTTGAAGAATGAAAGAGATGTTACCTCGTCTCCTGGATCATACTCTGCAACGAGGCGCATGACCAGATTCTGATTCTGTATGCAGACTTGACAGAATGCAGGTCGGGTGGATACGTCAACGGCTATCATCGCGCGGTCAGGGATGAGTCGCTAACTTTCACGTTGAATCGAGCCAGGATAGGACGCACCTCGATCTCTCAAGCTCGTAGTCATGGTGCTTGGTTGCCCCGGTCTTCGCCGCCCGATCTTTTTATTGCAAAGATCTTAATGAGTTCTGGGCCCAGCCGTAGCGAAAAAGCGTCAAGACTCTCCACCCACACTTTCATCCCCATTCCAACTCGAGCACAGATCGCAGTACCAGCTTTGACCCCCCATAACCGCAAGTCGTTCCTTGGGAAGGATGACGTTCTGATTGCAGTAAAAGCATGTCACAGTCGCGGTATCATTTCTCCAGTTTTTATACGATTGCTGAAGACTGGCAGGCGGTAAAGACGTGAGCGCGCGCGAGCCCCAAGCCAAATAGGTTCCGTCTCCATATCTAGAGCATACCTTTTTATTAGAGGTGATGTCACATACCACCGAACTGTCCACCAGATCAGGTGAACTGCTGAGGCGACGACGAGCAAGGCGAGAGCAATCAGCGACGGTCTCCACCCGCCTGTAAAGACCGACTGCACATCCAAGTATGTGCTAGGGAGTAGATTGATGACCGCTAATGCCGGAAGCAACAAGAGCAACCCCTCCTGCTGCCGTCGTCCTCCTCCCGGCATGGCCAGAACTGAAAGCAAAACAAACGAATTGCACACCACCAGCTGGATAACCCAATGCATTCCAATGCCAAATCGGCTGCAATCGGAACCGTTTATCACCGCGCGCGTTCAGCCGGAAATAAACCAAAAGTCCAACGGGCTTAAAAACGAAATATCGACGGTAACAATGCCCGTCGTCCAAATTAGCTGCTCAGGACATAACCCCCAAAAGGCGCTCGTGTCCATCGACAGATATCCATCGCTCGCTTCCTTTTTACAAACTCTTCCAGCTCGCTTCAATGTCAAGCCGCATCCGAGAGCAAGTCTTACCTACGTCGAGAATGGCCAGCCATACGATATTACCGACGACGAAGGCTGGATGATCGCATTAGGCGAGATGGAAACGCAACCCAAGCCAACGCTGGTTTGGACACTTCCTGTATCTGGGACGAAGCGGGAGCGGGAATTGCAGGATGCGGATCGGTAAGTGGAGCCTTGAGAGAAGCCACCGCCGCCCTTTGTCAAATTCGCAACATGCACATGAACTGCGTCTCAAAGCCGAATCTTGGTTTTTAGGGAAGGAATGGATGTACTGAGTCAACTCTTGGCATCACCAGCGGCAACAGCCGCAGCTGCAGCTGCTGCAAGTCCCAGCGGTACCTCCGAGGTCCCTGTGCCACCAAAACGTCGGAGAAGGTCAAGCAAAAACCCAAACATTGACGGCTCACCCGCAGCTCCCGCACATGTAAAGCGTCAGCAACAACAAACAGAGCTGTACCGAGTGAGTTTCGCTTTTTTTGTTCTTGATTTCCCTCAATTGATGGCGGCTGACTGTCTTGCATTATTGCTCCGCAGCGAATTTCAAAGGAACAGGGCCACGCAGCAGCATTCGACGCTCTTGATAAAGCCTGGCAAGAGCGTTTCTACGCTTTGGCGGATATAGTCCAAGATATTTTTGGCTCCCGTCATTACCTCCTCAACCCTCTCGAAGTCGCCTGCCCCCTCTGCCTCGCCAGCATCAAACTCTCCCAGATATGTGAGAGAAGAATGGGAAACCTCATGCACGCGCAGCACCATCTGCGTAAAGTGCATTACGATAGTCCTATACCAGTTGTTCAAAATACCGCACGGGCTTTGGTACAGAGATGGGAAGAGAGATTTGGAAATGCAAAAATGTGTGTGACGCCACTCACAGAAGAGATGAAGCGTTGTTTGCGGGATATCAATGGAGGTCGAGATGTGCCACTTCAACCGCAACAGCATGTGACGTCGCAGGAAGCGGGTCATCCGCAGTTGGTGGGGCCACCGCAGGTGGTTGGAATGAGTTTGGCACACCCGCCGGATGCTCATCCCGCCGCGACCTTGGGGCATCAGGCTGGAGCCCAAGGGGTGTTGAGCATGGCCCCGCAGGGCATGCAACACGTAGCCCATGTAATGATGTCCAGTCGGTAGCTTTTTCGAAGCGATCGTTTCCACTGTAGATTTTTTGACTTCGATTGTAGTAATATCTTTTATGTGAACATATATTTCTCGTGTGCAATTCTAAAGTGTCAAATAATGACAAATTCCAAAAAGTGGAAACATAAAAACCACTGGTTGAAACTATTCTACAGCTATACGACTCATAAAAAAATTCCCAATTGCATAAACCTAATACCAAATAAATAAGGAGTATTATGTACGAACTAATCTTCATCTGGAACATTACAGGATGCGTTAGTTTAACTTGTAGATATAAGCGCATGACACGAGAATGCAACACCAACCTGTATCTGGCTCCTTGGCCCCTCCCTCCACCAACCACTTCATATGTCTTGCTCTGCGTCGAATTTCTCGTGCCTTCTGCTCATTCCGAGTAAGCTTCTTCTTCTTTGGTTTGCTCGCAACCTTTTCCTCAATCTTTTTCCGAGCCGCTTCTTCCTTTTCGTTATCTTCAAATGCATCGTCATTGACAGCCCCTTTACCCTTCTTGGTCAACTGTCCAGCCTCAACATGCCACTTTTCAGGACAAAGTGCACCCACAAACTCTTCATTGTGCGAGATCATGACAACAGCACCGCCCCAATCCCGAATGGCGACAGCTAGACCACCCAACGAGTCACGGTCCAAGTAGTTGGTTGGCTCGTCAAGGACGAGCATATGGGGATTGTTCCACATGGCGGCAGCAATGACAACCTTGACCTTTTGACCGCCGGAAAGACCACTGATGGGATTGTTGTCCGCAATGTCGCCGTCCAACCCAACATCTTCAATGTGCTTACGAATGACAGTCGGACTGAGCTCACGGTATCCCTGTCCTTCTCTCGAAGCTTCGCGATCATCGAATGCTTGGACCAACTTTTGGAACCCGAGTTCCAAGAGCTTTTCCCGTGAAACCCAAGTGTTGTGCTTGGGAAGAAATCCGACCCACTTTATTTCATACTGGAACGACTTTTTCAGCTTTGCTCGACCAATCAGGTACTCGACTTTACGTTTCGACCCATTTACATCGACCAAGGTCTCCATCTGCGCTACATCCTGTTCAGTCAGTTTACGTGACTCCTTCTCAAGCACTTCACGATCCTCTCCAGTTTGGTATCGCCATTGGATGTATTGATTTGGCGTCTTCTCAAGATGTTGATCCAAATGGTGGAAGGCGTGCTGGGCAACGTATCCAATACGCAAGTTGGGGTGTTTCCAGACTTGACCTTCCTGGGGAATCGCCTCACCAGTTAAAACCTTGATCAAGGTAGATTTACCGGCACCGTTGGGCCCGATGATGGCTACACGAGATGAAAGGGAGACGCCAGCTGTGACATTTTGAAGAGAGGGTTTCGGCGCGCCCGGATAGGTGTATGTTGCGTTCGTCATCTTGAGGATAGATTTTGTCTTACTGTTGATGCCTTGAAGGAAAGCAGGTGGGGGAAACGTGAACTTGAGGTTTTCGGTAGATAGTGTGTAGTAGGACTTTGCTTCAGGTTTTCTCTCCACAAACTTTGACAAGTTGCCCTTGTAATATACCAACTTTTTCCGCTCATAGTGGATGATGTCAGTGCATACATTGTCCAAAAATCCAGAATCGTGGGAGACGACCAAGACTGTGAGTCTCTTTTGGCTGTTGAGGTAGTTCTCCAACCAAGCGACGTTGCCTACGTCCAAGTGATTTGTAGGCTCGTCCAACAACAAAAGGTCGGCGTTCATCAAAATCGCACGAGCAAGCTCCAGTTTCATTTTCCAGCCTCCGGAAAGGTTTCCAACCTGGATATCCAATCGATCATCTGTGAACCCAACCTCGACAAGTGCCTTCTTGATATCGTCACGAGAGAGATCCTTCAAGCGAGAATCTGATGCAACAAAGTCGAGTACTGGCAAGCTAGTGTCCTCTCCCTGAAGGCTGTGTTCCACCAGGACAGCACGGATTTCCTCAGGCGGGGGGAAATTTTCAACTTTGCCCAGCGAGATAGCGCGCATAAGGGTAGACTTTCCGGCACCGTTCCGACCGCACAAGCCATAACGGCGTCCCCGCATCAGCCGCAAGGTGGTATGGTTGAGAAGCATCATACCACCGTACGCCAAACTAAAATCGCAGCTGCAAAGCTCTTCACCTTCCTCAGCCTCCAGACCAGACTCCTGCTGCCGGCGAATATGATCCACCTCACGATAGTGTGCCGCCAACCGCTTTGCGATTAGTTCAGCTTGTTCTGGAGCGATGAAGGACGATAGATATGGCGCGCAGGCTCCCTTCCACTCTTCATCGCCGTATACGTCACTTACAATCACTTCTCTTAAAAGGGAGGTGGTGTAATCAATTGAAATCTGCGTGAAAGCGTCCACGGCGGTCAATTGAGCAACGTCCGCCAGTAGGTTCTTTAGGCGGTTCAAGATTTCGGCTTCTGAAGGAATGTGCGATTTTGACGTTTCCCCTTCTGTCCCATCACCGCCTGCCTTGACCAACGTGTTTCGTGCAGTCGTCGCCAAGGAACGAATTTCGGGGAAAGCTGCCGTTTCAATAATCTTATCAAGCCCAGGTAGCAGCTGAGGCAGGAACTGGCCAGCCTCCGCAGGGTCGCGGACAAGTTTGCACAGGTTATCAGTAATGACGGCAGCCGGTCGTAGCACCGCCGCAGAACGCTCATTCAGCGCACGAACGAGAAGAGGCACCATGATGGCCAATGCAGGGCCAGTTACTTCGGCTACAAAGGTAGTTGCAGACAGTTTTTGAATACATTCGGGAACTTCGGTTGGCCTGGCCATGCAGCTGACCAACATGGGGAGGTGTGGAGCGATATCTGGGTTATTTGCAACCTTGCAAACGTTCATCATGCACTTTGTGGCAGCTTGCGATACTTCCGTTTTCGTGTCGTGGAGGCATTCGGTCACTTGAGGGATAATTTCGGGGAGAGCAAGCGCAATTTGTTCGGGAGCACTGTTTGCCAGCTTGCCCAGTACTTCCAAAGCGCCAACTCGCGTTTGCCATTTCCTGCCCATCGCATCGTACAATATCGGCAACACAATACGAGTTGCGTAAGGAGACGGCAGTGACATTAGCGTTCCAACGGCCATTTCCGCGGCCTCTCGTACAGGTTGTCCCTTATCCGCATAGCAGTCGAGCATGATAGATAGCAACGGCAAGAGGTACGGCTCGCCAGCGCGACCTAACACACGTGCCAAACCATGCAGTCCCAATAGCGCACCTTCTCGTGCCAGACCAGACTTTTTGTTTTGCGCTTGTTGTGTGAGATTGTCGAGGACGCCGCATGTGTGCAGAGTGTAAAGCCCAATTGATTTTATCACTCCCCCGAGGTCAGCAGCAATAGAGACGCACTCGTCGCTTGTTTCACAGGTATACAGCTGGTTGAGGAGCTCCGGAATGCGGGATGACGGGATAAAGTCTGCAAAGCCCATTGTGTTCTTGTTTTGGCCGAGTCGAGCTGCACCAACAACAGTCTAAAAAGAGCCCAACCAATGGAAGGGCCAACAAACAGGAAAAAGATCCCCAGCAAATGGAGAAAACTAAAAAGCCAAGAACGATGCGATGGGGGGATCCCTTGTTCGTTGGTGTTTTTTTTTTCTTCCAACCCCTAACTTATCGAAACGCGAGGGAAACCCCAACCACGTTTTTTAAAGTCTCGCCTGCAGCTGAAAAAATGGGTGCTGACTAATCATATTATGTCAGCCAAAAGCGCAGTTTGTACAATACGATTTACATTTGACTAGCAACTCAAAAGCCTTCTCTGCCCGACATGAGCGCTGTAAAGAAAGTGTCATGAGCATGGGTATGACGAGGAATGCCGCCGATTCACCATACCAAATAGTCTCAACATCATATCAGGTGACATGACGAGCACTCGAGGTTGCGTTCCATTGTCATTGTCTGCTCCGATCCCATCCATGTCCACGCCATCTGCGCCATAGAAATACGTCAGATAGGCCCCAAAATGAAATAGTTCCCCATGAGAAAGATATTACTGGAACGCTGTCCCCGTTCATTTCTTTTCGTGATCTCATTTAACCCTGCCCAATCCGACCAGGGTTCAGCCGCTGTTGGCCACCATATTTTCACGTCGGAATCAATTCCAGATGTGGCAAGGATGGGATCAAAGGGATGTGGCTGCAGACAGTTTACTACCCGCTTCAAATATATCGGTCAGAAATCCTACTGCCAAGTTTAATAAAAAGACGTAAGAACTTACTTGGTCGCCCATAAGGAGGCAGCACACCTTTCCTGTGCCCTTGTGCCACACGAATATTCTGCCATCATCAGAGCCCGACAGCACGTACTCGCTGTTGGGCCCAAAAAAGTTGGCTTCCTTGATCTACGCCGCAGATGAGTTGTTTGAGAAATCGGCAATGATGTTTGATGCAATAGTACCAAAGTTCCAATTGCATACCATTGTTCTTTCATTCCGATGTCCACTAAACACTCGCACAATATCCGTATCGTAACGACCTTTCTCAAGTGACGGCGGCATAAGTTTCGTCTGAGGTTGACAATACCCATCGATGGGCGGCAAATCCTGCCCACGGTTTGCCTCTTTCCTGTGAGAGTCTTCTGTCTCGGCTTCTCCTTTTCCTTCCGTTCCAGTTGCCACCACATTTTGCATTGAGACAGCAACATCAGCGCCACCATCACCTTTCCCGGGACGCACCAAGTAGACTTTCTCTCGTGAGTACGATACTAGAATATCCCCGCTACTTGTTGGATCGTACTTCAAGCTAGTCATTTTGTGATGACGACCATGAATACGCGCTGACGGCATACTTGTGCCGTCTCCGTCACTATCTGTATCGTTTTCCGCTGGTAAGGACCTGCGCATATGGGATGGGCAGAAGTTATAAACTTCCCCAGATTGTCTCTTAACGGTGGCGTCCGATCCGTTTGATATCCGGCGGCGATCGTAAATCCTTACGACATCGTCGGTGCAACCAAGAGCGAGGTACTCTGTTCTCAGCGGATTGATATCCATTGTTGTGCATCCAATCTCAGGTGGTCTTACGCCGCCCATACTGGAAAAAAGTTGTCGGAGAATGAATGACGGGCTTGAGGCTCTGTCTGAACGAGGGTTTTCAGCCCTTTCGGAGGGATCTGTCTTTCCTCCTCTCCCAGCATTTAGGTCAATTAGCACATGGCGGTTGCAGTGGTCATCCTCGCAAGCGCAATGCGTTGATTGACGTAAATCGTATTGATTGACAGTTCCGTCATCGCTCGCACTCCAGAAAAGATTTGGAGAGTTTGGATCTACCACCACTTCGTAAGCAATATCACTGTGGCAGCTGAAACCGACATTGGCCACTGTTTGATTGAAATCCGTGTATCGGACCATGCCGTCCGCCGCACACGAAACGGCCTGCGGGCTTGGACCCCACTCGGAGAAAGGAACAAACTTGGCAGAGAAGATGTTCGCTTCGTGCCCACTGACGACAGATGAGAGAACAGGCGTCTTGCCGGGAGGAGCAAACGGGTCCCAAATAATCAGACGACAGTCATCTGGAACACCTTTGAATACCTTGCAGCATGTCCGCCATCAGATAGCTGAGCTTACCACTGCCACTCAAGATTTGTTGTCCGTTTTTAGTCCACTGAACAGTATTAACGCAGCCCGTGTGTCCTTCGAGTTTCCGCTCCAATTGAAGGCGCCCAACCAGGCTGGCATGGCCGGCTATTTTTCCTTTAAGTTTGGAGATCGGGGTAAAGGGATCCAGTTCTCTCCGTTCAAGGGCGTCGATGAATGCCGCTGGACTACTTGGGTGCGGAGATGCCCGGCGCATGTTTGGAAAGGTTCTTGGACAGTTGCTCACATTCCTTTTCTAGAGTTCACCGACTGCTTGAAGCTTTCTTGTGACGTGAGCAACGCGACCCTTTGCCTGGTGGCGTGGGAATCTGCTTACGTTTGTCCGATCATTTGCTTTCGCCATCTCAAGTTCGTTGGGCATTGCTCGGTTTTCAGAAACTGCCCGGACCGTTCAAGTTAAAAAGCAAGCGAGCGACATGCTTGGTTTCGTCATATCTCAAAGTTTGGGGTTCTGGCTCTTGTCGTTCCTCATTGGGATATCATTGCCGCCTTTCAGCGAAGGCAGGTGGTTTAACGGTCTACGCAACCACGAACGCGGACAAAGAGACGAGGCAAGTGGTGCCCAGAAGGAATTAGGGCGGTTAGACACACTGGGCGTGCGTAATATGCCTAGGCATTCAGCTTGGCTGGACGACAATGACTTTGAAGGTATGTGGTAGAAGTTTACTGTGGTCGAGGTTCTAGCCGGTAAAGGTTGTTATCATCAATTGCAGACCTTTTGGATGACTTTTTCCGGGGACAATTTACGCGTGAGGAACGGCTTGCCCTCGAACAGGCAGCTGGTAACTACCCCAAACCAGGCACATGTTCTGGCTGAAAGCTATTCACATATCAGCACAGGGACGCTTCAAACATACGAGACCAAAGGAAACGGGTGCTTCAAGGCCGCCGCAAGCGCACTAAAGACAGGATGCAAGGATGTCTACCTTCAGGAATCCGAGAAAATCAAGTGTGAGAATGAACTGTCTACTTGCAGTAACTCTACCGGCTGATCTTACATACACTTGTAAAGATGCTGTCCGATTGACTAAATGTGAGATTGCAACTGCCAACATACCGATTCCGGCAGAGTGTAAGAGTGACTCTGACAATGGCGAAGTTTACGCATGTGTCGAGTAAGGCAATACGCCAACATTGAGTAGATGAATGGTGTCTCATCGTCTCCATTTCTGTAACTCTATCAGGGTCTTATCCCGGGTACCGCAGTTATGGACGTCTTATTCAGGCTACGTCCGCGACGTTGGTATGGTGTTTTCGTTCTCATGGAACACTAAATACGTGGTAACGCGGATGTAATACCCAGTGAATATGTGCTTCGCCATTCGCTATGAGGCATATTATGGTGCGTTGGGCCCCATTCATTGGTGTTGTCAGCACGACCTAATCGGCTATTAGATCACATTGAGCATCTCTTCGAGAACGTAACTCGATACCAGGTTTCCTCCTACCGCCTACTTCGTCAACAGCGAAAAGACTTAACAGATTGGCGGAAAGAAGAAATGACACAATTGAAAAATATCGAGGCTCTGCAAAAGCGCCTTGCAGTGCAGGCTGGTCATATTGAGGTACGTACCTTTCCCTTCAAGGTTCACATCGAGTACTTATGGATGTTTCTGTCACAAAGCAGACAGTCGCAGTCCGCAGCTCAGCGCTAGCAGTAGCAATAGATCGCAATTTGACTGCAGCACAGATTGCCATTGAAGCAATATTACATGGCCAAACTGAGGCTCAAACCTTAATATCAGACATATTGTCGGAGACATATGATTTATCTGGTACGGTACGCGGGACACTGGAAAGCACGGCTGAGGTGAGTTGTCGACCGAGACTATGTAACCTGGAAATCGCATTCCCCAGGCAAATGTAAGCACGATCTCACTATGCAATGTAGATTGTGACCAGCTTAAATCAGAGCGTTGGAAGGCTTTCTGCGGACGTCAGCCAGATTATTATTCAAGAAGGCACCGCATTAGAAGCGCTGGATGATATCAAGGAAAGCATCCTTACTATGATTGTAGCAAATGACTGTGGATTAACCAATTGCACTGGGCAACCAACAGAACGGCTTACGTGGCACTCTCGATTATATAGCATCTCGTTCGAACGAACTTGATCAGGTGTGCAATCCTGTCTCATAAAACGACACTCTCCACGTAGACGCTGATAGATGTCGTCAGGGTCTGGACCGGATAACTCAACAGGTGACGTCTGTGGATGGAGGTTTACAAGCATTTGCGGCTACGAGTGAGAAAGCGCAAAACAGAATCATGGTGCGACAATCATGTCTAGTTGTCTCTGTACCGACAGTCATTGAAACAGAGAGAATGCAGGAGAGCTTGGGTGAAATGTATTCATACCAGCTTGAAAAATTCGCCAAGACATTGCAGGTATGAGAATCAGCTTGGCGTCAAAGCGCAGACATATTGACGCAAATTGCAATAATGAAGGAACTCGAGGAATTGAGCAAGACAGCAGAAAATAGCCTGCAATTGCAGCACGCCTTTAAGGTATGAAAGAAACATGGCCTCAGCTGCACTGTTGAGTCTCAAAGGGTGTCTTCGCCAGCAAGAGCACCAAGTTCTAGCCGCGCAATGGACTTCCTCCTTTGCACGGGCTGAGGAAGACCTGAATGCTCTATCTGCTCGCTCTTCCCAGCAAATTGAGCTACTGATCGAAGCAGCGGAGACCGCGCATACTCGACACACAGAAGTCATGGGCGTACTGTCACCTGTGATGTGGTTTCTGGAATTTTTTTTTGGTAGAAAAGACGTTGTGTCTATGTAGAAACTCGGTGAAGGGCATCCTCTAACCCCAGATGTCAGATGAACTTCGGAGTGTCACGGCATTTTTGACGATTGGTGTGTCTACGACATTACTCTTATTCATATCGTCCGTAATCCCGATGCTACGGCCAGTCCGCTCTAAGCTTTTTTTTGGTAGGTGTTATGATATGCTTCTTTCAGTTGCTTTACTGCGTGATGATACTCCATCGTCAGCATGCATTATCGGTTGTTTTGTTGCATATGCATTTGCGAACAGCATGGGAAGACACATTGGAGGCCCCGCGGGGCTCGTTGTGAGTTTATAATGTACAGATTTTGACTAGTCGACGAGTTAAAATGTCCTGATCCTTTACAGATTTACTTTTCGCTGATAACGACAGTGCTTTATCGCCACTTCAGCTTTCGAAATGCAAAGGAAGTTCCCTCTGCATCTGATTCTTTTAAAGACAAACACTTTTCGATTCATCGAGACGAGCACCGCCGTCATCTTGAAAGCCTGCGATCTTCTTGTATGGATATTCCAGGATCTAGCGGAAAATCTATCAGCGGTTATCTCCGGTCTGTTTATGCTGGCATAGCCCTACAAGGCGACGTTAATTTATTATGGTTGTTTTATTCAGGGACATCAATCTGTCCTCATCCGATACAGAGCATCAAAATCCTTCTCTCTGGCGCTTCCAAAGGAACGCAATAATCAACCGCTCTGCACCTCTACCCCGTTTTGGTCTATGAATTTGGCACCAAGACCTATTATAAAGACTTTCATATGCCATCGATCTATTACCGCACTCTGCGAGGGACACATTATCAGAATGCCTTTTATTTTGTAGAATGTTGAACCTATATAGATCTTTAGGAGTGTGTCGTTGAAAATAAATTCCATACCTTTTGAATTTGCAGATTGAACTCTTCGAAGCTGGATAGGCACGTGACATGTTGCTGACTGACTGCCCATTCAAATTGTGCGAGGACTGATTTGGGGACGATAGCCCGCATCCTGGTGGCCTTTCCGATTGCTTCTTCCCGTTAAAGAGACAAAAGCAGATACCATTCGTCGTTGGACAGGGGAACATCTGGACGGAGCCGGCGAAAATGTCGGATCATTCTGAATGTAAATGTCAATTAGCACTTTATGACGATCCTGTGATATTAGTTGTTCTTTCATGCCATCTAACTGCGATCTGCGTATTGTAGCGGATACCGAAAGGCATCGGGCATACGAGGAAAGTCAACTCAGTGACGAAGAGCGTGAACCGCTGATGGACGAGGGCCACCAAAGCGATGCGGAAGACGGCCAGATAGACGAAAATGCACCACAAAGCGAAGGGGAGAATGAGCCCTCGTTCGACGTGGGTCGTCGCCGTAGCGAAGAAGCAGGCGATAGTTATCAAAAACATCGCGAAAATGACAGAGAGCGGGGGGAACATGGAACCAGTGATGCTGAGGATGATGACCACATGGTCGACGCACCAGTTGCAAGTTTGAAGAAAAAGGTAGCTTTTCAGATTGGTCAAACTAGAACCCAGAGTGCGACGGAGATTGTGAGGCTATGATTTTGACTTCTGCTCCGGTCTTCAGAGCCAAGTGGTATCTGACGATGAAGGTGAAGGATCAGGAGAAGAAACGGCACGTCCGTCGTCCAAGAAATATGGGGTGAGTTACTTCTTTCGTGGGACAAAGCGATTCGTCCAAGATTTGATTTTTAAGGTTGCTTCAGACATACAGTGATGAAGACGAGGAATCAGAAGAGTCGGACGAAGAAATGACTGAGGCGGACAAGCAATTCATTGTCGATGACGCCGAGGATGAGGAGGGGGGCAGGGTACATAGGAAGCGAAAGCGCAAGAAGAGAAGATCTCCAACTGATTCGGAAAGTGATTTGGATGAGGACGACTTGGACCTCCTCGATGAAAATGCTGGAGGCGGAAGGACTTTTAAAAGGCTTCGACGAAAGATTGAGGAAGATGATGTGGCAAAGATGTTCTCTGACGAGGAAGAGGCTGGTGCAACTCGTGATGGAATGCAATTCCACGAACGCGAGCTTTACGATGAGGATGATATGGAGGATTTCATTATTGACGACGAAGAGGGTGAAGTTGGAGAAGTGGACCGCGCGGAGATTGTAGCGCAACGACGCAAGGAAAGAGCCGCCATGGGTCAAAACTTGGGTCGGGCTCTGGGCATATCGGACGAGTGAGTTGTCATGATTTTTCTGTGGGCCTGGAGATTTTGACCTTACGAATGATGTGCAGGCAATGGAGAGACACTCAATACTTGATCGATTTTGAGATGGATTATGGTTGGGCACTAAACCCTAGCAAGGTACGGTGATGAATGATAACGGCTTGACTTGTGATCTTATTCACATTGCGAGATAGGTTGGGAAGGATATGATGGCCATAGATGAAGATGAAGAAGAGGTCTTGGCTCCGAAACCGAAGGAAGTTAAGCTTGCAGATGTAGGTCTTTGCCTTCGTTCACTCATTGAATACAGGAGATTTGACTCAAATCATTGCATTCAGATCTATGAACCTACGGAAATCGCAGAGAAACTTCTGACGGATGCGGATGAGCTGATTCGCATGACCGATTTACCCGAACGGCTACAGGTACAAGAGTGGGGCCAAATATTAGTGGCAATTTGAACATCTCTCTAATTTGCTATATACAGCTTCGAGGAGACTTTCCTCCACCTGACCTCGGAGAGCTTGACCGTGAAGCACTCTACATTAGACGTTATCTTGTGGAGGAGAAGCACATGAAGGAAGGTGCAATGCCAGATCAGTCTTGGACAGAATCCATTGGAAAAGTTTTGCAGTTCCTTCGAGGGGAAAACGAGAAAGGGGAGCGATTGTTCTTTGAAGTTCCGTTCATTCATGCGCACCGCAAAGACTATACCGAAGGACGACTCGACCTACTCGATCTGTGGAGAATTTATGAGCTGGACTTCCAGTTTATGGCATTTGAGGCGAAGAAGAAAAGTGTTAGAGCTGCGTTAAAGGAAATCACACAAAAATCAGAGCAGGCTGCAGCTGATCTTTACATCGAAGAGGTCCTCGATCGAGCGAGCTCGATGGAGGAAGTGATGGACGTATCGCAATATATGCAGCTGAAGTACGGAAAGGAGTTGGCGCAAGCGGAGCAGACACGGCGACAAACATTCAAACGTGCCAAACGGAAGACACCTTATGAAATAGCGCGGAGCGCTGGTCTCGGTGAAATTGTGCAGGTAGCGTTGACGTGCGCTAATAGGTAGCCGTACCGTATTACTCATGCGTATACTTATTGAAGATGTTCAATTGCGATGCTCGACGTATTGCATCCAGCATTTCCGCCTTCCGATCGCGGGACGCTAAAGTCCCGTCCGAAACACCATTAGAGGTGGCGGAGCGATATGTGGAAGGCCCGTACAAGAGCGCCGAAGCCGTGCTGGAAGGTACTTCTAATTCCATTGTGCGTAGGTTTTGAGGCGTTGCGGAAGCTAACAAATACCGATAGCGGCCCGTATGATGTTGGCAGCAGAAATAGCAGTAGATCCGACATTTCGTGCTTTCGTGCGGAAAGTATACTCCACAGATGCCGCGCTGACTGTCACTCCTACCAAAAAGGGCAAGGCCGAGATTGATGAAACACATCCATATTATGTATGTGACGCGAATTTGAAATTACTAGATTTATGGCTTATGCATTGTGCTTGATCTGCAGCCTTTCAAATACCTCACGAATAAGTTCCTATTCGAATTCAATGATGGGCAATTCTTGCAGATACTTGCTGCTGAGGAGGAGGGCCTGATTGAGCTGGAGATGCGTATCTCAGCGGAGGAAGAGTTTTTGAATGATGTCATAGGCAGAGCGTGCTTGCCAGCAACAAGTGGTATTGCAGAAGACTGGAACGACCAGATTCGGAAGACTCTTGAGCATGCTTGTAAGGACCTTATTTTTCCGCAGATTGTAAAGTGGCAGAAGGAGAGGCTTGGATTGAAGGCTGCAGACTTTGTTGCTTTGCAATGTCAAATCACTCTTGAAAAGGTAAACTACACGGGCAGTTGATGTATGTTCACTCTCGGCGAGATTCATATCTTCTGCCTTCGTAGAAAATCAACATGGCCCCCTTCAAACGTAGTGAGGATGCCGATGCCGATGAATGGGATCCACGCGTCTTGGCCATCAGTTGGGGCGATGGGGAGCCAAATGCCGCAACGTTTGCGGTTGCACTCAAAGAAACCGGGGAGGTTCTGCAGTGGAATAAGCTCGACCGCCTACGGGGACCTATTGATCACCGAGGACCGGATGCGGATGCCCTAGTAAGCATGATAGTACGCCATGAACCGGATGTCATCGCTATTGCCGGATTCAAGCCGAATACGAAGACAATGCTGCACAGAACGCTTCAGGACATTGTGCAAGAGGCGCTTGTCAGCGGGCGCATCCGAGAGGATATAAAAATCATTATTGTGGACGACGAGGTCGCCAGAATTTTCATGAACTCGAAACGGGGCCTCAGGGAATTCCCAGAAGGCGCGTATCCACAGCTTGTGCGTTACTGTGTTTCTCTCGGCAGACGAGTACAAGATCCTACCACAGAGTTTGCGGGCTTGATGGACATGAACAGCGACATTTTGCATTTAAGATTGCATCCGGTGCAACATTTGGTTCCACCTGAAAAACTGAAGCAGGCATTGGAAAAGTCCTTCGTAAATGTCGTCAACACCTGGTCAGTTACCACCATTCCGTATGACGAAACCGATGTTATTGTTACTATAATCTAACAAGACATCTTGTAATTCAGTGGTGTGGATATCAACTTAGCCGCTCAGCATCCACACAGAGCAAGTACCCTCCAGTTCGTAGCTGGCCTAGGGCCTCGAAAAGCACAGTCCTTTATATCTAAAATAAAGAGATCGGTAGGTTAGAGAAGGCGCCAATGGCTTACACCGGTATCCGTTTATTGACCCGCGTGGTATTAGGGAGGCCGACTGGAATCACGCTCACAACTAGTCAAGAAGGGTCTTTGTGGCAAACGAGTATTTATGAACTGCGCGTCCTTCATTCGTATACGATCCAGGCACTTTGCCCGGTATGAGGCGAATTTGGACGTTTTGGATGATACTCGTGTACATCCTGAAGATTATGATCTGGCGCGAAAGATGGCAGCGGACGCTCTTGATTACGACGATGCCACTGTGGAAGAGGAGGAGAACCCTTCGCTTCATGTTGCTGAGCTGATGGAAAGTGAGGATGTTGAGAAATTGGCGCACTTGGCTCTGGATGAGTTTGCCATGGAACTCGAGAGGCGTCTTAACGAAAAGAAAAAGATGACCTTGAATGACATTATGAAAGAATTGATGGCGCCTTACAGTGAGCGCCGACAGAGTTTCCAGCCAGCAACCCCAGACGAGATCTTCGGCATGCTCACGCACGAAACAGATGAAACACTCCGCGAATCCAGCATCGTATCGGCTCACATCGTTCGCGTGACAGATCGGTTGCTCAAATGCCGCCTGCCTTCAGGAATTGACGGTCTCATTCACATCCGCAATATACCGTTGGATCGTATCCATGGTCATGAGCCTTCCTTGGGCGAGATATACCAGGAGGATACTGTTTTGGAGGCAAAGGTTGTGAGAGTTGACAAGGAAAAGCTGGCGGTTGAGCTATCGCTGAGGGACTTGGATCGCAATCGGCTGCGTCTCATGGTTCCGGTAGACCCCCGATTTGATCGTGCCAGACAGGCCATTGAGTACGATGAGAGGGCCGCTGAACGCAACGGTAAACATGTTGTTTAAGGTTACTAGGTATTCCCCAGTCTCTCACCTGCAGTTTTGTAGTGGAGGTGCGCAAGTCCAAATCGAAGCAAGTTCGCATCATCAAACACCCTTACTTCAAAATCATGGATTACAAATCTGCACAACAGTATCTGTCCGATAAGGACGTCGGCACGGTGGTTATTCGTCCATCAACGAAAGGCAACGACCATTTCTCCATCACATGGAAAGTTGACGAAGACCTGTATCAGCATCTTGGTGGGTTGAAACTGGCCAGATGATACTCATGGGACGTCCTAATTGATAACACTGTCTTTCAGACGTCGTGGAGGGTCAAAAGGAGAACGAGATGGCACTGGGCAAAGTGCTCATGCTCGAGAATGAACGCTATTATGAAATCGATCAAATCATCGCGGAGCACATTGAACCAACCAGCCGACGCGTTCAAAATATGCTAGTACATCCAAAGTATCAGCGAAGGACGGTGGCTGACATGAGTGAGTAGACGACGTCGGTACTAGGTCTGGAGAATATGCTAACAGTTCGAAATCAGTGAAATTGGTCGAAGAGCAGGCCGCCGCCACCCGACGCTCTGCCTATGGCTTCATTCAAGTCCCAGACCGACCCTGTCACTTTTTCTTAGTCTTCAAACATCCACAAAGTCGACCACACCAGGAATACGTCCTTGTAAATCACCGAGGCTACGTATTCCGCAAACGAGTCTTCGATACTATCGACGGCGTATTGAAATTCTTCAAAGAAGATGAAGCACGGCGAGCAAACAGTTCACGACCAAGAGGGCATGGTCATACCGGACAGACACGCGCGCCGGCTCCACCACCCCCTGGAGGATATAGGAACGGGCCACCACCTCCCGGTCAATATCCACCGCGGGCACCACCACATATGCCTGCACGAGTATAAACGAAATCAAATTCTCGTATATATTCTTATCCTGGAAGGACGGGCCATTAACGTACATGAATACAGAGCACCGCCTGCACCTTTTTCTACTATCGATATAAACTTAGTTTGCACTTTTTTAAAACCTCCGCAATCTGACTTCTACGATATGGTTTTGTAGCTACACAGGTTGGGATATTTTCTGGCTGTTCTATCCATCTGAGCGCAAGTCTTTGTTAACCTAGCGGTACAAGATGGATCGCTCGTCCATTAGACCTTACTTGTGGTGTACGATTCCATGGGCATCAAACAAGGAGCAAACTTTCTCGAGATGGTTGGCATTTTTGAGCTTTGCATTCACTTCATTTAGTTCATGGCTTCTGGCAACAATAAACGTGTAACGCAGTACCTCATAAGTTACTTTATGCATTCGCTCGAGATCACCCAAGTATTCTACTACGTCCGGGTCTTCTCGCCATCTCCATATTACCGCCGTACTTGCATGGCAAGCCTGCGTCACTATACTGCGTCATATCGCACATTATTCAGCCGTTTCAAGAGAGGAGCCTTGAGTTGCAAGTCCTACCTCCCAGTCGGCCATCCAAGATCCTGGCTGCAACATTAGAGATTGACAAGGTATCGCCAAGCTCAGCAAGTGCCCACCTTTTGTAGATCCTTGCGTAGGGCTATAAACACTGTCAGGGGCTCCGGTTGTGGAGGGTCCGTTGTATGTGGTGAATTGTCAACGTGATTGGGCGGTTGTGGGGATGACATGCTGATGGTACGCGTGCTCCTGGGTTCAAAAAGAGAAGGTCGGTAACAAGACGATGCTCGAAGAAGGGCTATACTGTTCCTATTAATATGATGACGGTATTGCTGAAACATGTCGGAATGGAAGAGCTGCTGCAGAAGGGTCTGTAGACAGTAGAGACAAAATTCAAGTATGGCTTAGGTAATGGTCCCGATCACAGAGTCAACCAGAGTCAACGACACTTGTTGTCGAGAGATTTGACAGAGAGCGGTAGTGTTTATAGTCATCCTCGTGCAGGAAACTGGATGATTTGTATCAATTGTACAAAAAGAAAGCGACCATAACTACAATCTGTTCTTACAAGACACAGAAGTGCGACATCATTCTGCTTAACGCCGATAGTGGAAGCACTGTGGCGATGTGAGACAACGACGTTCGATATAGTGCGGAAGGGTCAGTTCGGGCCACATTCTACCAACATCTTATGGGTATCAATCTGGGCGGTGGCCAGAATCCGACAATAAGGATTGCGACAACAGCCGCAGGGTCTGGAGCCGGTGATACATTGCATCCGGCAATGCTGTTGATTCATTGCCTTTGTTCTTTAATTGGTGCAACGCTGCTCTAGATTCGCTCGAG